TCGTTATGACGCGTCAGTGGCAAACTGGTGGGGAAGCTACATGAAGGCAGCTCGAAGCACGTTGGGCACCAAGCCCTGTAGCGAGTCTGCTACTTCAGAGAGCATCTTGAAACCTGCTCTAAAGCAAGCATCAAAGTGCAGCACTTGCTCAAGTCAAGGGTTCTGGGATTTGAAACGATTCAGTGAGTTACTTGGGCAGGAAGTTGATAAGAAGACAAAAGAGGTGCGTCCAACGCCTCTCCTCAGCGTGATGAAATGACCCGAGTGAAAATTGTCTTCCCGTAACCCAGATCGCTGAGACATACGACTTTTGCTCCTGAGCGGATTACAAGGCCACAATATGAGAAGACGCGAGGAAACAGCGCGTCACGGCTCTTCCGGAAGGATGATCGTTGTGTAAAGGGCAAGTAATTATGCTGCAAATAGAGATGTATCATAAGTATAAGCTCTTGGGATGAGGGTCCAGATTGGCATATCTTGGAAAGGACCCTCGACTTACTCATGACGTCGCAGGAACGTTCTGCGCCGCCGCCGCATCCAGCCGAGACTGTCAGCACTACAGCAAAAGCGACTGCCAAGCCGCCATCTCAGGCGCCTGCTCCTCGGGCACAGAGCCCTAGGGGTTCTACGAGGGGTAACCGGCGTACGGGGAGAGGCCGCAATCAACAGCCTGAACAGCGAGCCACGGCCGCCCAGGATAGCTCGAATGACGGGCGTCGCAATCCCGCGTTCCCAACCACAGCGACAATTCCTATAGATACAGCCGGTCGCGATCCGGGCGTCTCAGACCAGGTCTGGCGTCAGCTGCAGATTGCGAAACAAGCTCAGGAGCGAGAGCGAAGACGAGCGGAAGCCGCGTTGAGGGATCTTGAGAACCAGAGACGGGCAGCTGAGCGCAAGGAGAGGGAGGCGCGGGAGGCAGCTGCTAGGCTGGAGAGGGCCGCGAGGGCCGCAAGGGAGGAGAAGGAGCGCGAGGAGCTGACGCGGCGTCGGGAGCAGGAAAGGCTGCGGGAGATAGCGCTGCGGCAGGAGCAGGCACGTTTGGAAGCGCTGAAGCTGGAGGAGGAGCGAAAGCGCCAGGAAGAGGCCCGAGCACAGCAAAAGCTGCGGAATATGGGCGTTTGCGTTGCAGGGTTCCAGTGGATCAAAGTTGGGGGAGGCTATCGCTGCGCGGGAGGCTCGCACTATGTCAGCAATGCCCAGCTGGGGATCTCATAGCTATTCTGCCGTGATGTCAGCAAAGAAGACAGAAAACAGACGGAAGAGATGCGAAGCCCTTCTACGGTTAGCTCATAGCTTGCTTCAAGTTCGTTGCTGCAGTTTTCTATTATAGGTTAAGAACCGCGCCGATTGTACTGAGTATTAGACAGCATTCCATGTACAATCACCACAGCCGTGAACACGCCTTACCGTAGACTTCGTTGAGAGATGCATGCGGAATCTCGAGTTTCGAGGCAAGCCACGGTCAGCACTCCGGATCCAGAAACCCATTCTCGTAAGATCACAAGATCTCCTGTTTCTACGCAAAAGGTCCCTAGAAATCACAGTGAGCTGTTGAAACAAACAATACAATCGATAGAGAGAGCGTGAGTGTCCTGGGCCATGCACCTCGGTCCTCGGGAGTTGCAGTATTATAATTAAATTACTAGTCTTTAGAGCCGGGCAAAAAATCGTAGGAAAGGGAATTCACAGCCAATCAGAGCTCGCGGAATTCTCTTTCCTGCAATCTTTGCACCCCCCATAAAGACTGCAACTCGCGCAATGATGGTTGCATGAAGGGCAGCTGGGTGCAGTACTTCATATACTGTAACATACGAGACCCGCGTCAACAATCACCCAACTCGGCCACCTACGGCGCCTCGAACTAACATGGGCTTGCTCCCAGTCTTCTGCACCTGTACGTCGTGGAGGATGGCGTTGAAGGAGTCGTCTGGAAAGTAGGCCCGGGCGCGTGTGCTCACGCTCTATGATTGATTGTCTTACAGAAGCTGAACGTGTTCGCAGCACTCGCCGGACGAAGTATCAAACACCTAGGGAGAACTCCAAGTATTCGTCAAAGCGCCTCGTGCGAGTCGTGCCATTGTAGGTGTGTATATCACTCGTCTGCTAGCTAGCGTTGTGGATGTTCTGTCGAAGCTTCCGCCATTAGTATACCAGTGCCTAAAACCTGAAGTGAGGAGAAGGACCAGAAGGCGCAAGAGTTGCATATGGAATTATTACCTGGAGCGAAGTCAACCGACAGCAAACCAGCTCCAGCCGACGCGACGCGAATTCACAATCACAACCGATACATCTACGGCTGTGACGGACGCAAATATGCTCGTCGTTCGATTCGCCCAACGGCACGCGCATAAACGACATGCCATCTACCCTGCAGTCCCTCCCCTCCGACGTGTACTGCCATGTCATTCGATTTACCTCTCCGCGCACTGGCACATCTAGGCTCTGGTCCGTGCGAACCCGCCGCGGTTATCCTCTCATATCGTTCATGTGCAGCCGTTCCAGTGCGCGGCAGTCTTACTGCGAGAAGCCGCTTTCTGCGCCTTCGGCTCACTTGCCGCAGTGCAGTACATCGAGCCAGTCGGGGGGAAAGGGACTGCACTCACGACTCGGAGGAGAGCCCTGTGATGCAAGAAACGGCCAAGGTCGACGACGTTACCGATGCGGAGAAGGAAGGGAAGGTAGCGAACGACGTGCCATTGTGTACTTCACCCTGGAATGCTCTTTTGCACCCTTCGCTGTGACATGGGTGGGTGCTCTTCTAGCAGTTTCTTCTCGCTCGAGGTGTCTCCGGGCGCGAGCTTGCACGCCGTGCTATCTGAGAGACCGGCGTGGAAGGCCATGACCCCATCGATTATGGCTTGCAACTCTTTCAAGATGCGGGTTCCGAGTGAGTGGGCGGCCGTCTCGTGGTCAAGTCCTGACTGCCATAATCGCAGACGGAGTAAATATCAGTGCCCATATGTACGTCCTTCCGGATGGCAAGATAAGGACTCTGTTCTATATTGCCACCAATGACTCGGCTGAATCACGCGATATGGCGCAGAACGAGGAGTACGTCGCCAAAGCGAAGCGGTGTTGCGGGACACTGGGCATGGCAGGTGGTATCACATATACTCTTTCTGACCTGTCTGTGGACTACTACTGTATATTGTGATTTGAAGACCGGTGGCATTCATGACGTCCACCAGCCAACCGCGGCCAACACCTTCGCGATGTTTTCATGGCGCTATGATGCACTTAACTAGGTTGATCAACTTTTTGTTTCGACGTCTCTGAGATCCCCCAACGTTAACGTTCACCTCCTCTTCGAGTACTAGTCCCCTGTCACCTCCTAAACAAGAGACGCTCCCGAATCAGGAACGCAGGTTATCGCCTGCAAGCTTCAAGTTACGCATATGCATCATCCAAGCTGGCCTACATTGGGCTTCATTTCCTCATCGTCTTTGCTGTAGTGCGCTCCCTATATTTAGAATGAATGAGTCTAGTTTATTCTGTATCCGTACATCATCGTGAAGTTTGAACGACGTCCGGTGCTTCAAAGCAGTTCAAAGCCAGGAGAGTGGTCGGTTGAGGGGACGTGGTCACAAATAAGTTGTTTGCTGTGGCAGATTCCAGCGAGTAGCTTGTTGCCTCTCCCCGCTTCCAGGGGACATGGAAGAAGAGGTGAGTGAATTATAATCGGAACAGTAGTGGATAATTTTAGTTGTTCACAGGCACCCTACTTGTCGTTGACGACAAGTCGCAAGGGATCTGTATCGTAGAGAACGGTAAAGACGCGCTTTGAAAGCGCAGGCCCCAGTTTGTCTTTGACGCGTTTCCGGCCGTCTGCCGTACACTCCACCTACGTAAATATCAGCTTCCAGGTTGTGCTCGTCAATGCATATTCGTCTACACACCTGGATATGCTGCAGCAAGAGCGGGCCGGCTTGCGGATCCTTCTCGTACGCACGGTACAGACTGTTCATTGTCGGGTACGATTTCGCAATCGCCTTCGCGTGCTCGGCGTTCATCCGGTACACGCTCGCCAGCGCGCCCTCCCACGTCTCCGCGGGGCTCTTCCCCTTCGGCTGGCGAATATCCGCGCAGAACGGCAGGTGCGACCGCTCGAGGTACTTGTGAATTCGGTGCCCGACATCGCACGCGGTATCATAGAGCCGCTGCACGATCTCCTCCGACGTTTCAGCATACATATGAAACGCGTCGTGCGTCATCTCCACCGCGAGGAGCGCGCGATCCGCGGCCGCGCGCGGCGTCGAGTGCAGCTTCGCCATGCCATGGATGAGGAGGATAGCCTGCCGCTTAGGGCCCGGAAGCGCGAGGCGGCTGCAGAAAGCATCGATCAGGCCGCCGATGTTGTTCCCTGCGCCGTGCTCCGCGAGCGTCTGCGCGGTCAACCAGAGGACCGCTGTCTGATCCCACTTGTCGAGTGGATCGCAGTACTGCCAGGCGGACGTGCGAGTATCGTAGGTCTTGGTCACCCGCCGGCGGAAGCGTATGGTGCCGTGGCCAGGCATAGGGTCCGCCTCCGCCTCGACCTTGCCGCCGTGTTCGCCAACCTTAGTGCGGAGGTCGGACACGATGCTGCCGTAGGCGCGGTTGAGGGACGCGGAGACCACAATGGTCGTCTCCGCGAGGGTTTCTTTGCGGTCGATGACAAGCTTGTTGGCGGCTTTGAAGGTTCTCTGGGCGGTGTTATGCGCCGCTTCTTCCTTCTTCTTGCGCGCGCTCTCTTTCTCTCGTTCTCTCCTTGTTGACTCTTTCGCAAGGCGTTGGATTTCCTAGCAGACACATTAGAATCATCTTTTGAGGGGATCGGATTGTGGTGCACCTTCTCTCGCTTCTTGGCTTCCCTCTCCAGCCGCTTAGTCGCCTTCTCGCCTTCCTCCTTCGCTTTCTCCTCTGCTGTCTTGCGAGAGCGGCGGGGCTTCTTGACTGGAGTTAGAGGTTCGGGCTGGGTAGAGCTGGTCAGTGAAGTTGCATCGGCCCAGAATGGTCCATAACGTACCTCCTCTCTCGCATCGCCGACGGCTCGAGTTCTCTTGCTGCCGCTGTCTCGAGGATCAAGAGGGGTGAGACTACCCCTATCTGACCATGCAGCGGCGAACTGCTGAGACTCAGGCTCGGAAAACTCGCCGTTTGTGCTGTTGTCCTCGCTGCTGCTATCTAGTTCTATGGCCTGTGGCTGGCTGGACTGTGCAGGGCGCGACGATGCCGGAACAAAAGGGTCGTCTGAGTCTGAGAGGTCTATGACGTCGACTTCGCCGGCGGAACACTGAGAGGAGGGTGGAAGTGACGCCTGGCTGAAGATACTTTCGCCTTCGGATATGTCAATAACAGCACGCGCAGGCATCGTGTACAGCAGTGGCCACAAAAAAGCTTACGCTTAAATATGTTGTGGCGAGTGGCGACGCGTTCGACGCGTGTGTCGCTGTCACATTGTGAGTCGTGACCCGTGACGTGTCGCGTTCATTGGCTGGCGTTACGACCGCCACACATCTAGGCGTTCTTTCTCCATCTCATGTCTAATTTGACCTCTTGATTTATCTTCTTCTTTAACCATGTCGCGAAGTAGCGGGTCGGGGACTCGAACGAATTGCGCCAATCCTGAACTCCTGTCCTGGCTCGGAGAGCTGCGCGACGAGCAGGAGGAAGGTGTGTGGCCCTGGCTCCTCACATTACTTCTACACTCTGTCTCACCAATGAACTTAGACTCGAACTACCGCATGGTTCTTGGTAGAGCATACAAGAGCTTAAGGGAGTTCCCAGATGTACTCGAACGTGTCGAAGACGCTGTGCGAGTTAAAAGCATTGGTCCAAAGATCATCAGCAAGCTCAAGGAGAAGCAAAAGGAGAAGATCGGTGACTTTTCCTCCATTGCGGGTGCCTCTGCCTCTGCCGTGACCCAACCGAAGAAACGCGGCAGGCCCAAGAAGGCTGACGGCAGCGGTGCCGCCCCTCTATCTCGCCAAGTATCGGGCCCCTCAGTGATGCAAACACCTGGATCAGCGAAGGCTACCTCGAGCTCCTGCAATGCCTCTGCATCCGCCATAGTCCCCGAAACCGTGGAAGACGCCCCCCCTTCCGGAGCACCCCTAACGAACTCGGACCCCTTTTTGTTTACCTACCTCGGTGAATTGGGAATATATCTTTCCCAACCATTGACTAACTCCATTTGCTAGATGCCAATTCGAAGCCTGTTCGCAGGCGAGACGATGCCTACTTCGAAGAGACGAGCCTCAGAGAACCAGGATACCTCATACAATACTCGACTCAGTACAACAAGCATCCCCTCACCAGAGAGCTACTAGGACAGATCCAGATTGGCGAGAAGGTCACCGCGTATCTTCCAATGATCTTCGCACTGGAGATGGAGACCTCTCCACAGCCTATACCCCAGGCCGCCCCGCCACCACAGGCAGAGAAGCGGAAGCTCTCCGATCTGCTGGATGCGGAGAGCAGGGCGGTCGCCGCACAGAAGCGGCGCTGCACTGGATCCTTGGACCCTGCTCGCCAGCTACCGGTGCAGGCGCCCGGTCCTGCATCGACGTCGTTTCCGACAGCACGCAAGCCCATGGCTCGCTCAGCCACGATGCCTGCTATGAACAACAACCTGCCGCCGCCAGCGGCGGAAGGGACCATAGCCAGGACCGCCTCCCTTCCGAACAACGCCAGAGCGCAACGCAACAAGCCGCGCCTGTCCTCCGCGCTCCCCACCATGGAGATCGAGGTCGACCTCGAGGACCCGTACGCGTCCGCAGAGGCCATGACTCTCCCTGAATTCGACCCCATCGTCATTCCCGCCGAAGCCTACGACATCAAATTCGTCCTCGACAACAGGGAAATCAGGTCGAAGAAGGACCGAGACGGGCTGGCCGACCGGCTGATCGCCAGGGGCATACCGGTGGTGAAGGCGCCGCTTGAGATAGGGGATGTCGCGTGGAAGGCTGTCCGTAGGCGTCCGCGCGGCGACGAGTACGACGAGGTCGCGCTTGATGTGATCTTGGAACGCAAGCGCTTCGACGACTTGTGGATGAGCATCAAGGAGGGCCGCTTCCACGAGCAAAAGGTATGCGTTGTCGCGCTCAATCGAGACATACGCGACTAACCCAGTCTACAGTTCCGCCTTCATAACTCGGCCGTGACGAAGGTGTTCTACCTTGTGGAAGCGTACGGTTCGTCGCCATCAGTTACAAATAGTGTGCATATTCTGATACACCGTAGATTGCCATCGGCGAGAAGAGGCCAAGAAGACGACCATGGGCAAAGCCTTCGACACCGCGATCAGCTCAACGCAAGTGGTCGATCACTTCCGCGTCAAGGAGACGAACCACATCGACGACACAATCGCCTACTACGCCACGCTGCACGCGGCGGTCGTGGAGCGGTACCGCGGCCAGCCGCTCAGCGTGCTCCCCTCGGAGCTCGTCCGCCGCCAGACCTACCTCAAGCTGCAGAAGGGCCTGCGCCGCAGGGAGCCGTACCGCGAGTACCTCACGACCTTCACGGCGTTCCAGCGGCTCAACACCAAGTCCGGCTTCACCACGGTGCGCGAGACGTGGGCGCGGCAGCTGCTGCGCGTGGGCCTGATGAGCGCGGAGAAGGCGAGCGCGATCGTGCAGAAGTATCCGTGCCCGCGCGCGCTCAGGGACGCGTTTGTGGCGGCAGGGGAGCGGGAGAAGGTGGAGCGGGCGGTGGAGGAGATGGAGGCGAGGGCGGTGAAGGGTGGGAGGAGGAAGAAGAGCCGGGTGCGGCCCGCGAAGCACCTCCTCAAGGATGTGGGGCAAGGCGTGAGGATGGTAGGGGAGTCGTTGAGTGAGAAGGTATATGATCTTATGATGTCGGATGAATATGCAACGCGGTAGGACAGTCGCGATATAGACCTGACTTCTTGAGTTTCGACCGTATCTAAAAACTTCATCTTATCGTAGACTACCGCCATTATTTAGTATCCTAGGACCTCAGTACTATCTCCGTCGTCTGTGAACCCTTGCCATCCGCCTGTGGTGGGTGCGCCGCCTGCTCGTCGGGGAGCACGTGGACGTGAATGTCGTCGGAGAGGATACGGCGCTGCTCGACTACGCGTGCCTGGCGAAGGACTGTGTTCCTGCTCGAGCACGGGGCAACCCACGGAAGCAGAGGGCTATAGGCCGGCTTGGTGGTAAGAAGGAGGATAAGGAGAGGCGTAATAGCCTCGTCAAGGAAATGTAAAAGTCGACCGCCGAGGCTGTGTCCGCGCTGATTCACCAAGGCCCTCTCCGAGTGCCACACTGCCAGTCCACAGGCATACCCTTCCGTGTATATCTGCCGATTCGGTTCGAGAAAAACCTACAGCAGGTGTTGTTTGTAGCCGGGGATAGAATACCGAGAACAGTGGGGCGACGAGGGCCAGTGAATCCGCTGCAGCGAGGCGAAGATCATAGGCTTGCAGCTGGGCTTCGACAATGTGCGTTCCGAGGGTCATAGAGAACATGAAGCTGATGATGTCTGGGCACGATGCCGCAGAGAATACGGGTCAAATGCAGCCCAGGGAGGTGAAAGCGGCGATGCACCTTTACGCTGCGCAGGTTGCGCGGTTGGTCACGGAGACTATGATGCCGACCAGACCGGTGATCCAGCCATTGCGTTGCCAAAGCCGAATTCTGTCCTGTGTTAGTGGTCCTGCATTTTCCTGGCTTTGAAAGTTAATTGATTCTTACTTAGGCCCAGAGGTAACGGTTTCGTCAGTAAATAAGAAGGGACGGAGCTTACAGTAGTCCGGAACAGCGTCGTCAATGGCTATGTAGCCCGGGACGCCCACGACTCAAGTTCAACACCCAGTGCTGGGCGCCCTTCCACGTATGCGAGCCTGGAACTGCGGTAAACTTGAAGAGACTTACAATGTGTGCTCCAAGTCTAAACGAGTGCGCGTGCGCCTGACTTGGTAATGACGTGTGGAGTAGGCCGTATATTGCAGACGGACTTGTCAAATGTCGTTGTGAATGGAGCACAAGGAGTAGTATGTCCCTGGTGGACACGCTGTCCTCGCAGGCAGCATTGTGAAGGACGCATTGAGCCTTACATACCACATACTATCCAGGGCGAAATGACATCTCGGACGAGAAGTCCACATCGAGATTGGCAGAGTATGGGATTTCTGCGCGCAGTACATCTAGGTTAGCGGGCCCTTTGCTTCCCTTTGATTCCGAGTAGCCTAGTGCACCATCTAGCTCTTAGTCGCGCTGCATGCAATACCACCCGTCTGGCAATAAATATCTCCATTTACAGCAGACGATCTACGCACAGTCAAGAGGTGCCCGATGACTTCCCAGTCGCAGGTCTCCCCTGCGCCACCTTCCACCTCCCAAACAGCTGATTGCCCCTCATGACAAGCAAATCCCTCAACATCTGCAGCGACGCGGTCATCACATTCAATTTACTGCCGGGGACCTCGTGCCACTCGATCGGCACCTCCGCGACGGGGACATGCAGTCGCTTGGCGAGGAGCAGGAGCTCGACGTCAAATATCCAGTTCGTGATATGTTGGTAGGGAAAGATGAGGCGCGCGGCCTCGCGGTTGAACAGCTTAAAGCCGCACTGCGTATCGCGGATGTGACCGACGCCGACTATGCGCAGAACGGTGTGCAGCCCGTACATGAGGATGTTACGAAGAACAGAGCGCTGGAGTTGATCAGATATGCTAACGGAATAAGGAACTATGCGCCGGGACTCACCCTGACTACTGCTTCTGTTTTGACGAGGTGTGCTCTGCTGCCTACCGCGATGGCCGGGTCCTCGTCGCTCGGGGTGAGCTCTTCCATGCTCTTCCACAGCAGCTCGAGGTCTTCGAACCGACTCGCCCCGTCCGCATCAACCATGAGCAGCCGCCGTCCCCTCCCATGCAGCATCCCGTGGCGCACCGCCCCACCCTTCCCCAGGTTCTTCTCCAGCTGCACAATCCGGATATCAACTCCGGGGTACTCGCTCGTCGCGAGCTTCAGCATCACATCCGGGGTGCCATCCGACGAGCCGTCGTCGACGATGAGGATCTCGTACGACCGCGAGCCCTTGAGCGACTCCAGGTGCTTGATGGTCGTGGCGAGCATCTCGGGCAGGCGCTCGGTCTCGTTGTATGCGGGGATGACGACGGAGAGGTCGACCTCCGCGGGGTCTTCTATCGAGGCGAGCGGGAGGTATTTGGAGGGGGACGACGCGGAGCGGTACTTTCTCTCCCCTTCACGGGTGATTATTGGCGGCGGGGACCATAGGATTAAGACTGCGTAGAACTAGGATCCATTAGCGTGTCTGGTACACAGAGGACATCGAAGATGTTCGCTTTAAACGCGTATTCAGAATCAAAGGCTGCGCGCCTTACCCTACGCTGTCGTCCTCACCCCGGCGTGCGCGCGAACGCGACCCAGAGCTCGAAGAACAAGGATGAACTGGGAACTCATCCGAAGAAATAAGATACAGAATACCAACTTACAAGGCTTATACCCAGGACCAAGCTGGTCACCAGCAAGTAGACTAGCGATGACTGATCTAGTACCATGTTGAACGTAGAGATGCAGCGGTCGCCACGTCTCGCATTTGCTTATGCCCGCGCGTTGACGGGGAGTGCTAAGGCACTCTGGATTTTATTTCAAAGGAGCGAAGGGGGTTGGGGGATATCGGCGGGAACGAATGCAAAGATGGTGAAGGAGGTCCATGTTTCGAGAGAAGTTGCCACGTCGTCTGGCGTAGCCACACGGCCCCTCGCGGTGGCGTTTCCTCTGTTCAGGTATGTTCAACTGTATATTGCCTTCTTTTTACGGTGCTCGTACTAATTGTTTATGTCGAGACGTATGGAAAGTACAAACGGGCGAGGAAGTAGGACCGCAGTCTGTACTTCCTAGACGTATAATAGCATCCACTTCAACTCCTGGGGATTCTGAATCATCAACCTAACCTTCAAAGACCGCGCGAAGTATTAATGCTAGGGGTTCCTGTTGTGTTTGTACGATGCTTAACGGTAGATCAGGGGCTGGGTTACTCACATTGTCTCTGACTGCAATATCTCGAGTCCTCGTTAAGAAGAAGTCGAACCATGAGAGTCGAGATCTAGGAATACCAGAAGACCAAGACCTATACGCTCGATAGAAGGTTAGGGAGGATCCTGCAAGAGCAAGCCTCCAGTACCCAGAGAAATCCGCAGCTGTCTAATATTTGAACTGTCTCGAAAGCCGTCGTGCTTTGCCCATGCGTCCGAAGAGTAGACCTAGCCAGAGTGTGCAGACGGCCGGCGATGACCCGGACTCTGCCTTGCGTCGCGAGAGACTGAGCTGGAAGGTATCAGCAGGAGCCGTAACCACTCCCCTAAAGTGGCAGTTCGATATCGGTGAAGTCGTGGTGCTCTAGGTCGACAATCACAGATTGGCAATCACTCAGCAAGCTGATCCAGGGACTCCATATTGATAACCTTCATGAAAGACTTTGCGGGACGGAATGCAGCGCCATCAGTCAAGAACAATATGGTGCGCCGAAAGGGTATTGTCGCAGAATGCCTGGGTCAAGGGCTTGTCCATCTCGGCGCGAAACGAACCTCGTCCTTACGTGTGTCGCGAGAATTGGTCCCATTCCTAAACGCGATATCTCCCGAAGATACGCCTGCATTAAGTTGTCCAGAAAAGTGACGTAGGACGGGGACGGCACCTTTTGCTCGGAAGTCAACAGGCGTCCGAGGACGCGTCCCGCCAGGATCACGAGCGTGTCTGCGCAGGATACAAAGCATAACCGTCCACGCACGGGTCGCCGACTTACCAGAAGCAAACATTGCTCCTACGCGTCCGACCACCACCTGAGGCGTTGCATAAACTGATGCTCCTAGATATCGCTGACTTGAACGAGAGACGCCGCGCGGATTTTGCGGGTGTAGGCCGCATATAGCACAGCTGGGTTTTTTTAATAATTCCAGCCTCCCATACCAGTGAATTCGTTGGGAAAGCGACCAACAAAAACGGCAGGTAAAGCAGCAACGAGAGGGTCCCAACCATGTCCCGTCCGCGGATGGATTGAAGGAGGAACAATGGCGCAACGAGTTTATTTATTTATTTTTACTTACTTCACTTGCCTAATCCGGCCCAAATATGGCAACCCCCGCAGGCCTACCGCTGACTTGAATCCGACCATATTCTGCGCATGCTGTTCCAATAAATTCTCTGTCTTTCTGGCTCGAGTATCGTTATTGCTGCTTCGTTATACCGTCTGTTAGTCGAGCGCACCGCAGGCTACCGCTTGGATGCCGGGTGTATCAGTATTGCAACCGTCACCTGCTCTCCGATCATTTCCGACGACCTCAGCAGCTGCAGCGAGTCAGTCGGTGGGAATCCGCGAATTGAGAATGTTACTGACATTGCGTTCTAGCGGCGACGATGCAGAATGGATCGGCGAGGACTTTCGAGCCGCTCACTGTCGCCGAAATTAAGGAGCGGGCGAAGGAACAGTCTCACAAGGTCTCGCGAGGAGTTACCGCTATTTCGCTGATCAAGGCCGCCCGTACTCAGGTCGCTGCGGCGCGGGTTCACGAAGGCGCAGGAGATCTGAGGGCGGCGCTGAGCGCCTACACGAAAGCCGCGAGCCTTGCTCAGATGTTCATGGAGTCGGCAGAGTTCCAGCAGGAGGCTCATGGGCGGAAGGGTGTCCTGTTCAAGGAGCTCATGGACTTCCAACAGGTGCGTCCTGCGACTATCCAACTTGCTCAATATGAATTCAGATCCTCGTAGAATGATGGAAGCACCCTCAAGGAGGAGATGCAGAGAGTCGAGGAGAAGTTACGCGAGATAGAGAAGTCATCCGTCAGGTAGGTTCTAAGTATTGTACCTCGGCCAAGCCCCAATCATTGGAACTGTCAGGGAGAACGGCGTTACCTTCAATGGAACGAAGGAGGACGAGAACGGTCCTGTCTCAAAGGCTGGGGGCAGTATAGCAGACCGTATCCGCGCGTTGCAAAATGCAGGCCTAAGCGATAATACCACTCCCACCGCTAACAAACGCCTCTCTCGTGATGCCGCAGTGCTCCCCTTGACACCCCCGCTGTCATCTGACTCGTTGCGAAATATTCGTGCTACGCCCCTCCCCTCGCCGCCTCTCCAGCTTTCTTCCTCCAGCTCCGCGACATATACACCCGCACCCCTTAGTGCTCTGACCCTCCCCTCTCTACAGCAGTCCAGCTCTGCCTCGCCCCTTTCTTCATCTGGCGGCTCGCAGCACATGTTCGTCAACCCCTCGAGCCTTGGCCCGCCCTCTCCCACCTCTTCGACATCCTCGTCGCCGCGCGCCTCCCATCTCAATCTTGCCGAGTTCGCACAAGCCTTTCCCTCCATTGACGAGTTAGACGAGAGCATGAACGGGCTGGCCATCTCTTCCGAGCCGACCGGAGGTGCAGGCAGCAGCTCTAGCTCCAGTAAGCTCTCCGCCCTCGATATTAAGGCAGATGCACCTCTAGTCTCCCCTACTGCGATCAGCGCCTCTTCTCGCTTCCCCCCTATGCTCCCGATCGACCCAGGACCGCGCCCATCGAGTACTCCTATCAAGCCGTCAATTGACACGTTCGCGAGCAGGCCCGCGAGCCCCGCACTTGGGACCGGCAGGTCGCCCATGTCCCCCACCGTTCCCCGCAAGCCGTCGAACCTGTCTCTCAGCGGTTCTCCGCTGTCCGGAAGGTCTCCAATATTGCCGACTTCGTCGGGCTCCTCTGGACACGCTAATGCGAGCGGGCAGGACAAGCCGGATATTCCGCACACGAACTCGATTGAGCCGAGGACGCTGCATGAGTATCTGTCTCAGTCTGGCATCAAAGTCTTGCTGCTGGACTTACGCACTCGGGAAGCGTTTGAAAAGGAACGGATCAAGGCAGCGGCTGTCGTTTGCCTGGAGCCGTCGGTCCTTCAGCGAGAGAAGTAAGGTTTGCTAAGTTGATTCTGTGGAAATTATGTTGACGCCCATATTCGCAGTGTCTCGGCGGAGACCATCGAGGACTCTCTTTCGATTGCCCCTCGGTCTGAAAGTATGCTCTTCGCTAATCGCGACAAGTTCGAACTGGTCGTGCTCTACGATGATGCGTCGGAATCTTATGGCCTTCAAAACTCACCTTTCAATAAGCTTGTGGGCGCGATATACGAGCGGGCGTTCAAGAAAATGCTGAGGAAGATGCCAGTACTCCTAGTGGGTGGGCTGCAAGCCTGGAAGGCAGCTTATCCAGAGGACGTCGTCTCCGGGGGCGGAAGTGGCAGTGGCATGAAACTCTCGTCCTCATCGTCCGAGGCAAGGAGTCTTTCCACGACGAATGGCGTTAGTCCCAATGGTGTGACAATGAACGGCGCCGGCGGCGGTCTCATTTCTCTCCCTACTACTCCTCGACCTCTACCAGAGACGCCCAATTACTTAGTGAGCAGGCCCAGGGCTGGTACGGATCACGCGAAGGCCATGCCGTCGGATTCGAGGTCTTCGCCGTCTGTGCCTGCTTCTCAGATGCCTGTGTCTATAGGCAGAAAGAGATCCGGGACTGACTATCAGGCAATGGCATCAGGGAGTAAGCCGCCTATGAATGGCACCGAGGATCAGATTCTGTCTTCGACTGCGACTTCTCCTACGAGGGGCTTGGCGAGAAAGCCCGCGATGGTGAGACCGCCTTCCAGCCCGCACATACCGAGTTCCATCGGTCGGCCGTTATACGAGAATGTAGGTATTGATGGTAATCGTTGCGACTGTTCAGCTTATCATTCTGTTTCTCTTTAGGCTGCGGGCCAGCATGTACCCCCGTCATCTCCTCCCCTTGTGAACGGCACCACACCTATACAGTATCCCTCGTTCTCCCGACCAATGCCCTCTGCTCCAGTGGCGGGTTCTTCCTATAATGCCGGCGGTAACTACGGTATGGTGTCGATGCCTCCTCAAGCCTCCATCAATCCCTCGCCTCTCTCACGGCGTCGCAGCGATTACATTGATCAGTCGCAAGAAGCGTTGTCCGGCCTCAACGGCCGAGCATCCATAGACTACCCTAACTTATCTTCCCAGCACATCATCCGTCCTCCGCCGGCCGCTGCGTCTCCTGGGCTGGAGAGGCAGGACAATCGCCCACGTGTTATGCAGCATACTCATTCGTTCTCCGTTCCTGCCGCTGGCCCTGCACCGCCCACGATCAAATCGGAATATCCAGTGACCTACTGGTCGGACGTCCAGATCGGCACTTCAGGACTAAAGAACCTCGGTAACACTTGTTATATGAATTCCACGATTCAGTGCTTGAGCGCCACCGTGCCGTTTGCGCGCTTCTTTACTGGTACGTGTCGTGTGTATCTTTCGAAGTTCCATCTCTCATCATGAGTTAGATGGAAGATGGAAGAGCGCTATCAATATGGTTAACCCGATGGGATCTAAAGGCAACCTAACAGCAGCATTTGCCAGCATTCTTCACGAAATGTGGCATGGTGAAATGCCTTATATCTCTCCGCTTCAGTTCCGAGTAAGTTCCTCTTGTATCCGCCTGAAGTCGGCTGGGCTCATGCTTCATAGCGTTCAATCTGTTCACATGCAAGCCAATTTGAGGGGAACGATCAACACGATTCTCAAGAGTTCCTGACCTTCCTGCTCGATGGTCTTCATGAAGATCTCAATAGGATCCTCCAGAAGCCTAGCATTGAACCATCGCCAGAGCGAGAAGCGGAGCTGGAGCGCTTACCGCAGCAGATTGCCGGCGCTCAGGAGTGGAAAATATACCGTATGCGAGACGACAGCTTGGTAGTTGACTTCTTCCAAGGCCAATTCCGAAACCGTATGGAATGTCTGACGTGCCATAAGACGTCTACGACATATAACACTTTCATGTCTCTCTCTCTGCCAATACCCACAGGCCGCTCAGCTTCGAAAGTTACCCTAATGCAATGCTTAGATGCCTTCGTCAAGGAGGAAGTCATGGAGAACTCGGATGCCTGGTAGGTAACCTTGACTCTCAGCTCTCACCTGATTAATCCGTATGACGTAGGAACTGTCCTAACTGTAAAACCCTGCGCCGGGCAACCAAGCGATTATCTCTGTCGCGACTCCCGCCTGTGCTCATCATCCACCTCAAGCGTTTCTCCTTCAAAGGGCCGTTCACCGACAAAATCGAGTCATTCGTCGATTTCCCTTTGAGAAATCTGGACCTGACCAACTACATGCCCCCTCCCTTGCCGCCCGGGGTAGACAAGTCCCAGATGGACGGTGGCCAGCATCTGTCCCGCGACGATCCTCGTGTTCAGCTTCCCCCCTATAAGTACGATCTGTACGGTGTTACAAACCATTTCGGAAGTCTCAGTAGTGGCCATTGTGAGCAGTTTTTGCTGATTGTCTACTCTAGCCGCTCATTTCTTCTCAGATACCGCGTTTATCGCTTCACGGGGTGGCTGGTTGTACTGCGATGACAGCCGAGTCACGACGGCCGATCCAAAAGAGGTTGTGGTGCGTATTTGCTCTGTTGGTAATAACCCATCAGCTTTCTTACCACGTATCTTGTTAGGGTAAACCAGCATATGTATTATATTACAAGAGAGTCAAGGCATAGATTACGATCTTCTTATTTCCGTTCATGTTTTGTTGTCGTTGCATATTGTATTTCTCCCCAATCTCCTTCTATCTCTTACAATTATCATTACAACAGGACCTGTAATCTTATATCCGCATCTATGCTATGACACCGTACAAGGCTTATCATCGGCTCCCCTTTCTTGGAAATAACACCTATGACACACAAAGTCGCTCCTGAACGGATAGAAGAGCGGCGCAAATTCAGTACCGCATTTGAAGCAATGCGGCTCTGGTCCGGACTTGGCGGCGACGTGGCCTTCTGTGGGACGAATGTTCAGGATGCTGTCCAGTCGCTTGGCCTTACGAAGAAGGCCATGAGACTGTGCAACCTGAACTTGTTTGTAATTGCTACAGTAGACTTGGAGGGCAGTCTGAAAGTAGGGAAAGATCAGGTGGGAATGCTCTGGAGTGAACTGACACTATTTACCTCCCCCGAATCGTTCATATCGCAGATCTCGTAGATAATGCGCTTGCTAGTATTCGCATGCTCTTTGCAGGATATGATGGGGTTCATGCTTCCGGTCTCTTCTCGAAAGTTAACGACAGTCATGAGCTCTCTCCGGGTGCTCTTGACCTAATCCGGAAGCGTCAGGACTGTCTGGGATTACTGTATTCTGGATACACACCGGCTGGATTTCGAAGCCGAATTTGTAACCATTTTGCCAGGCACAGGAGATATGGAACTCCTTGGGACAATCAGCACAGCGCACAACAGCGCCCCCGCTTTGCTCGCATAATCCACATTTCTGCAGCCGGTAAACGTCAGCCAGCTTCTTCCCAGGCACGACGGCTCGACTTACGGTAGACCAACGGTGGAGAGGGATCGTACTGATACCCTCGACGAGGCGAAGACGGCTCGCATCGCTATAGATCGTCTCTGGTACGAATACCGAGCAGAGCACGTGAACCCAGCCTTGACCTTCGGTAGGCTTACATGCCCGGAGATACGTGTCGGGCGGGGGATAAGGCGCTTTACTCTTCCTGTCTCGTTTGGGACGAGGGCAAAGAAGGCAGTCGGTATTCTGCAGGTGGTTAGTTAGGTCTAGACGTACCGACTCGACAGATCATACGTACGAGAGAAGCTTCGAGTGCCTTCTGGTTATGACAGAGATCGCAAACCCAAGATTCCACAGCCGCTGGGTCGACAAGTGCACCACAAGAGCCTGCCAACATCATGAGTTCAAGGAATCGTAGCAAGAAGTAATTACTATGATTGACCTGCATGAACTCGAAACTGGCACTCTTTGCATTTCAAGACCTTGCCTAACGGACCGCTCTTCTGACAACCCAGACATCGCAGCTGGGGGGCTGCAGGAGGTGGAGCAGGAGGCGGCGGGGTCGACTGAGCGGAAGCAGTAGTCTATATGGCAGTATCCTTGTCAGATCGGAAGTCTCTCGGACGCAAACGCACTCACTTTGGCACGTTTTGCAGTCGGCCCATTGAGAGGCGTGCCTTCGCGCTTCTCAATGCGTTCGGCTAGGGGCGGCTTGATCTTTGCTGGCGGGGCCGACCCATCGCGAAGAGGTCGCACATGCAAATCCGCATACTTGCGCCAATTAAGGCCACAATCATCGCACAGCATGGACGAAGTAGCCAGGCCCTTCGGCGCTTTCCACCATGTGCTGGAGTCCCTTGTTCTGCATGCACCGCAGTAGGCATTTTTGGACGGCTGAGCTATTACCGATCCTTCATCATCCGAGCTTGCGCCAGCGGCGGCATGGTGGCCTTCTGGTTGGGCAGGCAGTCCGGCCCGTATCCGTGCGTTCTCTTCCCGAAGTTTGGCACTGAAAGCGAGATGAGAATGGGCTAACCAGGAACACCGCAATTAACTCACTTCTTCCAATGGCCGTAGTATCTCACTACTTCCGCGATAGTCCGTGTGCGAACCTCGTCCCGGACACTGCGCAGTTCCGGGCCGTATGTATGAATGCCTTCCTCGAAGGCGGCCATTTCCTCGTCATTCCACTCTCGGTCGGTGTACCGGGTCTCGGTCTTCTTCCACTATGAGAGAAAGTTAGGTATTTGGTAATAACTAGACGTCACAAACCTACCTTCTCAAATCGCATGGGCGACTTCATATTGACCGTGGAAAAGCTGCGATGCGATAAATACGCCTCACACATGCGCCGTGTGACTTCAGTCAGCCAGTCAACGCTGCTCTGCAAGTCGCTCCGGGAAGTCAAAGCGCGCTTGCATCGTTCCACTAGAGTATGTCGGTAAGTATTGAGACGAAGGTAATGTAGAGGACACCCACTTTCAGCCACTATATCCAAACAAATGTCAACAATGCCGCAAAGGGTAAAGAACCACGTTGCACGCACCTTCCTCTTCCTTCATCTCGTTCACAATGCTAAGCACTTCGATGGTGGAGTCGCCGCCCCGTTCTTCCAAGTCTATCGCCAGTCATGTCAGAAAGAGGACTGCATAACAGGGGACGCCCATACCAGGCCCAGAAGTTGAAGCATTGGGATTATCGCGGTCTATCAACGGAGGCACGACAGCCTGGAATTTGGCCCCGACTCGCGTGGCAGTTCGGGGAAATATCAGGTCCTCGGGATCTGTGGAGGAAGCCGATCGGCAGGCATCGAAGCCCTGTCAACACCAGTGCTGACCAATACAGACTACGACCCACCTAGCGTATCCTCCGCCACCGTATACAATCTCCAGGACGTTCATTCCTCAATACATGCACTCTTATGCTGGCAGAGCTGACTGAACACTCACCCGAAATACCTGAACGGCCACATCTGGTAATGTTTGATTTCCATATTTTCCTCTTTCTCGGCTTGGGCGCGATCCTTCCGCGGGCGGCCCCTGCCCCGTGCCGGCGGTGCGTTGGACTTGGGTTTGGAGGGCTGGCTGGGCGTGATGTGGCGGACGACCTCGTGGCTGTCGACCTCCTCCTCGTGCTTTCTCGAGCAGGGAGCGCACGTCCAACCGTATCCACGAGAGGGCTTGGCGAGCAGAGGAGGCTGGACACAGCTCATGTGGAAGAACTTCTTGCACCGGTCGCATTGGACGGTCTCGGGGCTAGAAAGGAGTCGGATTGGGTCAGGGCATGGTCGGAAGTGAGATACGGATAGTGTGATTTACTGGGGGCACCATTCCTCACATGTCGCACATAAACGAAGTGAGTCGGTCAAATCCGGTACGATCTCTTTCTCGGCCACAACATATTCGTAGCGCGAGATCAACACCTCTCGAATATGGCTTGGTACTGTATCAAATACGAAGGTGAATTTAGCTCCACCTGGGACTGCAATGAAACATACGATTTCGGACGTCTGTCGAGAGAATGACCTCGAATTCCTTCTTGATGTATGGATCGAATAATCGCGTGAAATAAAATCTGTCTGGACGTTTCTTCCATCCAGCGAGATCCGAGATTTTATTTCGGTGTATGACAAAGCATTTCGAGCGCAGTTGAGAGATGTCGCAGACCTCGGAATAGATGGCGGCTAGCAGAAGGCGGCAGTCGGCCACGGGTCGGTCGCTCACGTCGCTGGGTCGATAATACCAGGCAAGTCGCACTCGAGCGTAATTTTCGTTACTTTGTGCCTTGCCTTTCAATGTCCCCTCGGGGGGAAGGAATTCCATGATACGAGCCACAGAATAAGGGGTCCCGTCGCGCGCGGACCACGCCGGGGAACAATACACATGGTCTTGAGCAGAAAATTAAGCATGCTAGCGCCACGGAAAGATGAGATGAAGAGCTGAATTTTACCATTGATTTTGACTTTGTCGCCATTCTTGAGGATGACGAAGGGCACTTCAGCGGACATGTTGATCCCGAACGTGGTGCCCGTGCAAGTCTGGGATCTACAGATTAAAACTCAGGCAGCCACGCGGGAATGTCAAGGGTAGTTGGAATAAAAAGGGAAGAGGAAGAGAGGGGAAAGACGATTTATTGAAGGGGATTCTGTGGAATGTGGGGGTATGATAGAGAGGCGTTCGGCGCAACGAGAAAGACAACAGGGCCCGAGATCCTTCATTGAGGCCACCGAAACCAAACTCCGACGTGTTGCACGGAATTACCTGCCTTATTGGACGCATCAACGCAGCCTTCGCGCGTCTGAGCATTTATGCAGCTCTCATCTCATGGATTCTCGCTTTCGCTGTGCTCGACAGGGATCATGGGTATCATGCCTTGCTGCGCGGGGCGGAGAGAATAGCAGCGAATATTTATTTTGCTGGGTGGTTTTTTCTACCCCTACCACATTGGATTGCCGGTTCGGCTCACAACCGGTTGAATAAGGACGCGGAGGCATTTACCGTAGGTTGGGCTTTGCCATTTCAATTAAACACTGGGAAACGTTGTAGCCATGTAAACAGGGAAGAGACTTCAGTAAGTCCCAATGTGTATTTGCTACTAGCTGCGGTTTGATACTATCAAAGCATCTATCATCTGTTCCACAATTCCGATGCTGCTTCTACTTTGGTACATTATTACTCTCCGACTCGTCACCTGTACAGACCGCCATTCCAACTTGGTCTCCTCCGCTTAGGTTCTCAGTTAAAGTCCAAGCTTGGAAATTGCGCTGCCAAGATCTTGGTACGTCACGGTTCTAAGCAGGGTGGTCGCTATTCGTACCGGCCCAGGAATACAACTCCTCCGGTGTATTGGAATGGCATCCGATGGACTTAGCTATGCCTACGCTCTGTTCCTCCTCCAACTGCGCGCGGCCATTTATCTGATTGCATCACCACATGTCGCATTCGAGGAGACTCCAGAGGCGGCGGGTTTACCTGACAAGGCAAATCCGACGGCTTCATTTGACATTCAGCCTTCTTTGCACTGCTTTTCTCCCATGGCCGATAGTGGCAATCCCGACGGGCGGACCCCGGACATCCCTGACCACACCCAATTTGTCACAACTACTATCATTTCGGGGGAGTTGGTCAGGTATCCCTTCATTTATTTTGTATCTTTATGAATCCTTGAGTTACGAACATCGGGTTTCTGCAGTCTAGTGCAATGCCGCCTTGTCTATCATTCTATGTACTCAGAAAAGCAGAACAGTGGACGGGTGGGCAGTCGGCAGCCCTTTGATGAGTTCGGCACGATTTCGCATACGGCGCGGGGTGAGTTGGTCAGATGCGTCACGCGTGACTCCTGCTGTTGTAGCAGGGAGATGTGTCACGCCAGGTCACGCCGCATTGACCAACACACCCCCTTGCACGACGGTGGTATGCCTCACGCACATTCTCAGCCAAATCGGCTGTCATAGATAGATTTAAATACCATATAAACCCTACCACGATGTATCTCAGACCCTCTGCTTGGCTATAGAGCTGGAGATCTGGCGAAAATCCCATTTAGGAAGGAGGCTTAAGCACACCATTTCGCTCATTGCGCTTTGTGCACCTTGATATTAGTGATTCAGACCATCTAAACCTAATAGATGGCTGCTATATACCCTGTGAGTGAGACAGCCAAGAGCACAAAGGAATGTGGAAAGTGTTACGAATATTTCAGTCCATTAACCAACCCGACTGGAGCTGACCAACTCCCCCGAAATGATAGTATGGGTGTTGTGGGGTAGAAAGTTGTACAAAGGAAGTTATGTGGTCTGAATTCCTGATTCTACAACCTATTGTCCTGCACTTAAGGCTGTAACTCCCAAAATGTCAGGGTAAGATGTTTAAGCTGCAAATCCTGGTGGTGTTGTGAAATGTTGAGCACAATAGGCAGGTGCGATGGTGCAAATGGATGAAGATAAACTTTTAGTACACTACAGGATATGATGCTGTAGGTGCAAACAAGGATAGATACCCGTGTGGTGCATGGTGGCACAGATGACCTTCAACAGGTGTTTGATCACCATTCTGATCATATTGAGTCAGACAAGGAAGACGGGATGGCAGAAGCTTTATATAAGTTACCTCTCAGCACTTACAAAAAGTCAGGAATAGCATGAAGACTGAGGTGAGCTAGGTGTCTCAGAGTATGTTATGATGGGAGTGCTGGCAGCAGCCCTAGCAGCCCAAAAACATTCCATTTCCTAATTTCATGATGGATACTTTTCTGTTTACATGTAGCAAGAGTATTCATGTTGATCTATCAGCAGGGCAAGGGGGTGTGGGACAAGATAGCCTGGGGACAATAAGGATTGTAAATAACTATTACAATCATATTTCCTGTACAAGCTCCTGCTTCCTTATTGGCACACAGACATTCAAGCAGTCCCGATTGCAAATGAGTGCCCTCCCCCCTCGGTGCAGAGGCTGTGCAGTTGTGTTGGTCCTCCGACATATCTTATAAAATGAAGGGCATGTATCGAAATCTTGATTTGCACTTTATTCTATGTTAACCATTCTGTGGATATGATGCTATATATGTACATTCTCCCAATTTCCTCGACTCCCCTCTCAAGCTCCTCCTGACCTCCCTCCGCCTTGCACTTTTGTACAACACATATGGAAGGTCCAAATTTCCCTCTTGTCTTTAACCCTCTTGCAAGTCCACAAGAGGAATTATCTAAATTAAAGGAGATATACTTTTGAGTCAGATTCGTTTCTGCTAATTACCATATTTGGTATATGTATTATTACATAATTCAACCTAAATGACCATTGCCCGGATAGAGTAGCAGACATGCCAATTTTCTATGGTCATTTGCGTCATTCTGAAGCAGTTAGGTAGCCTCCCAGAGAACAAAATGATGTACTGGGACCAATCTACATGTCGAAAAATTTTCAGACCGCTGTACCGAAGTGGTGGTAGTTAGGTGGCCCGCACCATAATCCTCCTAACCGTGGTCCGCGGCAGAATATAGGGCGCAAACTCTGTAAGGCAACCCGCACGTTCGGGCAATCCTGGGTCTTTTCCGACGTCATAAACCGCTGCCAGGTACCGTTTCAAATTCGGTTGGACGAGAGACCAGGCCCGAAGAGGCGACTTTCATACGAAGGGACTTTGCGTGGGAGGAGACCAGCTTTGGTATTTCGAGTTCCCTTGGTTCTATCTCTCATCGCAGCCGCCGCCGACAACGAGGACGGACTCGTGGCCGTCGCACTCGCACTCGGAGCCGGGACGTTCGGCGACGACAGCGCAGCACCATGGTGTTTGGCCGGGGATCCATCGCTGGGGCCTCCTTTTCCTCGTCACGCAAGTGCGGGGAAGAGCTGCTGCCCATGCCGGACCTGAACACGCCGACGAGGGTCAAGATGGACGAGGCGAGAGAGAAGAGGACGTCGACGCTAGCCTCGACGACCGCCCCTGTGTCTCCCGCCGCGATAGAGGCGCTGCTGCCCGCACCCGCATCCGCCCCCAGGACGCCCAAGAAAAGACAGAAGAAGAATGCGAGGATCCAGAACAACCTGAGCCTGCACTGGTCGCTGCTGAAGAAGCGGCTGGGCAGCGCTTCGGCGCCGTCGACGTCGTCCGTGATGCTCGAGTCCGCAGGAGAGGGGAGCTACCGCCGCCCGTTCCCCGGCAAGTCGGAGACATTCGACGACGACGGGACCGTGGACGAGGTGGTTGTCGACCGGGCGTGGTCGGAGGAGATCAAGAGCTCCGCGACGCAGTCTGAGCATGGCGGGTCGCCGGAGAAGACAGGCAGCCACCAGCAGGGCGGGACGAACACTGATCACGAGAGTTTCATCCCGCATCCCGACGGGTTCTGGGCATACGCGACGCCGCTCATCATCCTGCGGTGGCGGGTCTGGCCCGCGATTACGGGCTTCTTCGACTTGTCGTTCTTTGACGAGCGCAGTGAGCAGCACTATCGGAAGGAGAACTGGTTTGTGAAGAAGGTACGTGGGTAGTGTGCTATGCCCTACATTCGTTCACCTGGTTATAGCCCCTTGCGATATGGGCGTCGCTCTTCTACGTACTGAACTGGGCACTCGCTCTGGGGTTGATACCCGGGCCGTTAGTCCTCGCCGACAAGATCTTTTACTACGGGGTACGTAGTCGCTGAATAACCGTGAGGTTTCTGGTACTTAGTGTCTCCAGATCTGTACTGCTGTGACGGTGCCGCTCCCGTTCATGGTAATCTACGACTGGCCCCGCGACCAAAATGTCTTTTACCAGGTGTTTCTTTGCTTCTCGACTTGGTGCTGGTAAGTCGTTCATCTCTGGCTCGACTTCCCAGTCAGTCACCTTAGTCGGTTAGGTCTTATTATCAGGTCGTGTTCATGTACGTACTTACTGTGCCCGGAAGTGCACCTACCAATAACTTTTACTAGGTATGCCTGCGGGTTCTACACCAATGAGGTCAAGCATTCGTATTTCACGTGCGGGAACAAGGATTTCCTCGGTACATTCTAGTAAGTGCCCAGATCATATGAAGGAAATGACGCTAATGCACGGGTCTGTAGTTGGACGGCTGGGTTGGCGACTATTTCGCTCTTCGGATTGAAGCAACATCGACTACCCCACATGATTGGAGCTGCGGTGTTCTTCATTCTGTAAGCGACCTCTGTCCCTCTGGCCACGGGGGAAGCTCATGAACTGTCAGTGCTTGCGTCCTCATCCTGCCGGACCGTCACACATGGACAAGAAGTGAGTGTTATTGGATGTCTATCAGGTAGTATTCCAGCTAATGTTCCCAACCAGACCTCATCAACCACTTCGTCTACCAGTCCTTCCTTCTCTACGTGCACTACATGAGGGAAAACGTGAGAGCTACTTCATTCTGACGCGACGCCCTTCATCTCCTCCTATCCTGCAATCTAAACCCTATCGTCCCGCAACTGCCCGAATTTCCGCCTCGCGTCGCTGTCTGACGTCATTCAATTGACTTACTGACATGCTTCTTTCGCTCGCGATGTCTAGGCTGAGAGGAGGCTTTACACACTGCGCGACCAGCTGAAGATCCAGTTTAGGGCGACGCAGAAGGCGCAGATCAATGAACGGAAGGCGGCGGATTCCAAGCGGCGATTGACCTCGTACGCTGGTTTCATTACAAAAGTGGAAAACGCTACTGACGTGTGCCCTTAGATATGTCTTCCATGATAAGTTGCCCGGTAGTATTTGGCTTCGGCAGATTGGACTAATCTTGGATTTGTTTTCGATCTCCACAGGTGCGAGTTCCGCTCAATACGGCCTGTGAGTATGAGAATCCTGTGTGCTATTCGTGCGCGTCTGACTTGGTATGTGTAGTGTTAGCGGTCCAGAATATGGAAGCTGCCGGAGCGGTACCCAAATCTCAGCAAATTGAGTTCAAGGCTTTGGAAGGAAGTCTCAGTATGATGTCCAAAGGTGAGGGTGTGATATTTCTGCAGTCAAAGATGTCTTCTCACGTGTGCATTTTACCCCTAGTGCTGAATGATGTCCTGGACTTGTACGTCTATGCTAGGCCCTTTCGTTCGTCGAATTCGCTGACATGATTCTTTAGTAACCGCATGGACAGTGGTCGTTTCGAATCCGTGTCGAAACCCTATGCATTCCACCAGGTCATGCGATCGATGCTTGTGCCCCTACAGCTTGCCACGGATGCTCGTAATCTGACACTAGAGACGGAGTTTGACGAAAACATCGATTTGGTTTGTGACTATATCGATATTCACCTTCATTAGAGACTAAATCTACGCATGCCAGGTTGCTCGACGAGCGGCTTACGAGGCCATGGGGCATCCCCCTCAAGTAGTGGAGAAGCTTATGGAAGAGAATTCGGAAGAGCACGGCATCGTCTGCGGGGATGAGACACGCCTGCGACAAATCATCACGAACCTCGCCAGTAATGCTTGCAAGTTCACCCAGTCCGGCGGGAAGCTCAGTGTCAAAACACGCTTAATATTACCTTCTCCCGAATCCACCATGCCTCGTTCATCTTACGGTCCGTCCCGTTCAGAGACTGACGCGACAGACGTCACGGATAGCTCGAAGTTGCCCGACTCGGCGATCTCGGACGCGGAGATGGGTCTTGGTGAGAAGGTTCAAGGCCACCATGTATTGTCTGCCACGCACCTGAGCCAACATAATCTGCATCACTCGCAATTGCATCCGCTGGAATGGATCGTGGTGAGGATAGAAGTTACGGACACAGGTTGTGGTATTAAACCCAAAGACATGGTACAAAGCAAACTGTTCTGTACGTATGCAAATTGCCAACGCACGCAGGTGCTGACGGATCCGTTACCTTGACCAATTGCAGCTGCGTTCAATCAGACGGAACAAGGCAGACAACAGGGTACGTTTAGATATATTATGTGCAAGCAGCCCACTAAGGAATGTCAAAGGCGGTAAAGGGACTGGTTTGGGTCTCGCATTGGTGCGGCAGATCGTGAAGCTAAGCCGTGGTAGGCTTGGTGTGCGGTCCAAGGCTGGGGAGGGGTCAACATTCTGGGTTGAACTTCGTGAGTAACGAATGCAATGTCGAGTAGTACCGACTGAGACTTATTTGATATCTAGCCCTTGGCGTCGGCGCGAAGACCATGCAAGGCTTCACACCCCCACCCAACTTGGTCGAGCGTGCGGATGAGTTGGGCCTCAACATGACATTCGCGCCGGAGTCATCGCACTCAGGCGGTAAGCCCTCGCGAACGTCGGCTAATAAGCGAAATTCATCTGCATTCACGACCATTATGGAGCAAGGTTTGTCATATTATCCACTACAACTAGGCCCGCTCTAATTTGTTACACTTCAGGCGGAATGGTCGAGCTGGTGCCTAGCAAACCGGGGGAAACTCCAGTGTTGACTCGGGCCCTTGGTGACGCGAATACTGGGACGGCGCCTCGCACATCGACTCCACCCGAGATTGGTGAGCTGTCGTCACCTGAGTCCCTCACACCCACAGAGATACAACGGACGACTGTTCGGCCCTCTCACGTGGATTTACCGAGACCACGACAGTTCACGTCGTATGACTTCACGAATCCCTCGACATCATCTTCTGCAACACTCGACCAACTAGGGAGCACGCCTTCATCAAATCAATCGGCTCCTGCCACGCCGCCTGCTGAATTCGAGCGTGGCTTGCCTGTGCTGGTGGTCGACGATGACCCCTTAACCAGGATGCTCATGAAACGCCTCTTGACGAGGATTGGTTGCCGCGTCTCGACAGCCGAGAATGGTGAGGTGGCTTTAGAAATGATTCTGGGCGGGTCAAGGCCAACGCCCTCGTCGGAAACGCCAAGCAGCCAGGGTTCTGAGTCATCGCAGGGCATCGGCTCTGGGACGGGAGTGCCGATGGCGGAAGACACCCGTTTTGCGGCTGTGTTCTTGGACAATCAGATGCCGGTCATGTCCGGTCTTGATACGGTGGCAAGGCTGCGAGAAGCGGGTAGACAGGACTTCGTGGTTGGCGTAACAGGGAACGCACTATTGACGGATCAGGAGGAGTATCTACAAGCAGGAGTAGATCAGTGAGTGGGCCCGGCCTGCCTTTATTGACTGCATAAACTGACTACGGTATAGCGTCCTGACAAAACCGGTACTAGAGAAGAGTCTAAGGAATATGCTGCATCTCGCCGATGAACGTCGAAAACGAGCGCTACTAGACTTCCACGCGCCATCCCCTTCATGACCATAGCCTGTGTCTCTCCTTCATGCATATATGTCTTGTTTTCTTGGGTTTGTGGTGGGCATCTACACTATATATGTTTGTTGTCGTTTGTCGTCTTGCAACCTGCACTCATCATGATAGCATTACTGCAGCATAGCTTATTTAATACCGTAAGAACATGTATTACTGGAATTGCTCTCGCTTGTGTCGAATTTGCTTACACTCGCATGTATTGTTGTACTACTATTATCAGATCTTTTGGTGGGGACGCTTGCATTGGTATATACCCTTCATTCTTGACACGGTCAAGTCTCAAGACAACCTGATCTGGCAGGAGGATTCAATCGTTTGGTACAACTTCTTGTACGCGTCAAGTAGCGCCCTGGACGCGGCGCGTCGCGAGCTTGGCCTCTCTTCAACCGCAATGCCCGTTCCTTCATCTCATCCCTCCCAAACTCTTACACGAACTCGAAGCCAATGCGCCTCTGGATTACACACTGTCTCTCATATTCGAGCCGAATTGGCCCAATCTTCGATGCGCCCTAAGTACTAAAATCGCAAAGACACGAAGGATCGATGCCGCCAGACGCCATCATTCCGTCCGAAGGCGTACCGCCTGCCTACGCGTCGCAATACAGCATAGAGAAGGGGAAGGCATATCTTCACTTCGCCGCTGAGTCGGGCGATCCTTGCTTAGCATTGGAGATGATTCGACTGGGCGCGTCGATTGACTTTAAGGACAGGGAGGGTCATACACCCTTGACTTTGGGCCTCAAGTGCTTGGCAGAGATAACGCTCGTGGCTCGCATGAGGCATACTCTACGAGCGATTGTTATGGTCGCGGCCTGCGCTGCAAAAGGAACCCAACACGGCAGACCTCATGATAGTTCGGATCGCATGGGTCTGCAAACTTCTCATCGAGCAACATGCGGATGTCGATATTGTTGTCGGGGACTCTGCACCGCTCGACAGGGCTTGCCAAGTACAAGACTGGGATCTCATAACCCTCTTGCTTCAGCACGGTGCTAAGCCGGATCGACGATCGCCGGGTGGTCTCCCTGTCGAAAAGCTTGGATCGACCGACGACGAGATGCGCTTCTGGAAACTCGCGAAAGCAACGTCGAAGTCCACTGAAAGGCCGGCTAGACTTTGTCCTTGTTGGTCGGGCAAAGCACTGGTGCAATGCCATGCTACAGGTCTCAAAGGTTGGCCTCGTGAGTACGCCTGTCGGTGTGGCTCAGGGAAGACGTACGAGAAATGCTGTGCAAAGCGCAATATGGAGTTTCTGGAGAAGTGGAACGAAAGGACGCAGCAAATCGAATGCAATGCAAGGAAATCGGTTATCGGAGTAATGTGTTCCCCAGCGAGATAGACCCTGCGGTGATGAAGAGGCTCGGTGAGAATTTCCAGCGCATGAAGGCACTATACGGCGACTTCGGCTTTGGCGCCGTCCATAGGATGGCCGAAGGGAAGAGGGGCAATTCCTGCGAGGATTGGCTTTTCTGGGGGAAGCTAGCCCGCGAGATTCACCTGACTTTGGTACCTTGTGGGCTGGTTGATCCTGCGATTGTCCACGCTATTCTGAGGCACACTGGTCTCCCTATGTGAGTGGTAAATGGTGATTCAACTCTGTCGCATGATTGAGCGCTTTCGCTAGGCCTAATGGCCGCAGTTTTAGCAAGGAGGAAGGCGAAAATACGTCGAAGGAATGGAACAGTTATGTCGACCACTATATCGCCCAAGGCACTGATCCTCGAGAACCCATCGAAATAGAGCGGGCGGCTAAGATCGGTGTCTCCTGTGGTGCTCTCTATCGAACATGCCAGGGCGCGAACTGCCAGAAGCTGGAAGGGAGGGACGTAACAAAATTGCTCCTATGCTCCAAGTGTAAGATGGTGCGTAAGTTTGGCTAATTCACATATGTGTTGGTTCACTCTATGCTTCTCCCCGTCCCAGTCCGTCTACTGTAGTCGGAATTGCCAGGCAAGTGACTGGAAGACACACAAGCTTATCTGCAGTCAGACTGGCCCGCATGGACAGCCGGAGCAGATGTTGCCTTCTCAGGCTGCCATTCAGAAGTATATTATGCCTAATATGTTCAAGGGTCTCGTTGAAGATATGGATCTCATCCTTGGGAATACATACCCAGTAGCGCTCCGTCTTTGATGATAACTGTCCGAACTGCGCATGCCACCCCTGTATTATTGATAATTTATCTTTATCTTGCCCTTCTGATATGCTGAGGCATGACCGTGGATAGTTTACTCATGAGAGACTCAGAGCGACCCAGCGAGACGCCCGGAATAGGCAGGAGAGTCACCTTTTTCGGCGTGCCATCTTGACGCGTCAATTAGCGCCCATACGCGACGCGACGCGACTGCAAACTGCGGGACCTACAGCCGAGTCAGTCGCGAATCCTTTCCTCAACCGCTACCATGCCTGTATCTTCAACCAAGCCGCTCATCCCCGCAAAGCTACTGCAAGAACTGGCAGCTGATGAGCCGCTGGACTACACCTTGTCCATGTCATTCGAGCCGCACTGGCACAACATCCGATGTCTGATACTCAAACCGGAGAGACACGAGGGCTCCATGCACCCTGACGTTGTCGTTCCGCCGGAAGGTGTCCCTAAGCCGTATGCGTCGCAGTACGCGGAAACCAAGAAGAAGACCTACCTTCATTTCGCAGCTGAGACGGGCGATCCATGCGTAGCCTTGGAGATGATTCGAATGGGCGCAACAATCGATCGGAAGGACGCTGGGGGTCACACGCCCTTGACATCTGGTCTCAAGCGTCTGGCGGAGCTGGTACTCATTACAGGTATGCGGCATACGCACTACGGACGGATGTTGTGGTCGCAGCCTGCGCTGAAGAAAGAGCCTGGGACGCCAGACCTCATGATAATCCGGATCGCCTGGGTTTGCAAACTCCTCATCCAGCAACACGCGGACGTTAACCTGGTTGTTGGAGACTACGCGCCTATGGATAGGGTTTGCGAAGTGGAAAACTGGGAACTTATAACGCTACTCCTTGAACATGGCGCCAATCCAAACCGCCGCTCCCCTCGCGGCCTCCCTGTGGATAGACTCGAGTCACGAGAAAGTAAAACCCGATTCAGAGAGCTAGTCCGAGACATGTCGAAAATCAGTCAACGACCAGCCCAACCTTGTCCGTGCTGGTCCGGGAAGCTGCTATCCGAATGTCACGGAAGGGGAGAGGAGATACCTTACCCTCTCGACTTCGCTTGCCGGTGCGGCTCCGGGAAACCGTACGAGAAGTGCTGTATGAAGCGCAATATGCAGTTCAAGGAGAAATGGGACCCGCGGACGCTGCGGCTCATACCCGTCGAGGAAGGTTTGAGGAGCAATGTCTTCCCCGCCGGAATGGACCCGAAGGTCCTCGACAGACTAGGCCCGAACTTGGAGCGCATGCAAGATCTGTACGGCAGCTTCGGCTTTGGATGCGTCCACAGGCTGGCGCAGGAGAAGAGGGGCATCAAGACTGAGAATTGGGTCTTCTGGGACGATTTCGCTCGCAAGGTCGAGAAAAGGCTCGTCTCTCGCGGACTGGTCGACCCTGCGTTCTGCTATCCCCTTTCCCGGCACTGTGGTCTCCCAATGTGAGTGGTAACGTGACCGTGATCCGAAGAGTGAAGAACTGATAATTTCTCGATAGACCCAATGGTCGCAGCATCAGCAAGGAGGAAGGCATCGAGACGTCGACGGAGTGGAACGGCTTCGTCGACGAGTATATCGCTAAAGGGACGGACCCACGGGACCCTCTTGAGATAGCGAGAGTGGCGAAGATAGGCACATCCTGCGGCGCTCTTTACCGGACTTGCGAGGGATCGAACTGCGAGAAACTCGAAGGGAAGGACGTACCAAAGCTGTTGGTATGCTCCAAGTGCAAAATAGTGAGTAACTCTATTGGGACATCCTGTGTCTCGTTAATCTCACTTTTCCAGTCGGTTTACTGCAGTAAGCAGTGCCAGGCAAGTAACTGGAAAGAACACAAGCTTATCTGTGGCAAGACTGGGCCGGATGGGCAGGCGGAGCAAATGCTGCCGTCACAAGTCGCGATACAGAAATATCTTATGCCCGACATGTTCAAGCAATTGCTCAGGGATACAGACCTGATATTAGGAAATACTCCACCTGATGCCAAGTAGCTTTTAGCCCGTTGCTCGGCTTGCCTTCATGCTTTTGCGCCCCGCTTACCGCTCTGCCTGGGACTGTAGTCCGTTCGTAGATACAGTAGTATTGCTCATTACATCGTACGTATTGTACCAGACTTGTGTCAGAGGGGCGATGCTCCTGTTCAGAGTCTGAATGGATTCTGAGAAACGAGCGAAGCCACCGAGGACTGAAAAGGGATATCACGTGACCGCGTCGCGTCGTTCGCGTCGCCTCGAGGCCTTCGCCGCCGTTCCCCACAACGCCGACAACATCATCCACCGTCGTCTGCTTAGCTGCACAGGGTACCGCCCATGGTCATGGCGCATACGCCTAGGAGAACCGTACATTGGGCACTGGAGGGCTCGCCCTTTGGCTCTCCGTTCTCAGAAGGCACATCGAACGAGTCGTTTTCGTCGGGCTCGAGCCTACAATTCATCAATGATCAGCTTATAGCCCATGGATTCACTCATGCGCCTGGCCTTTGTCTGGAGAGCCTGTCCAACGCGGATGCTGAGAAGGTCGTGAAGTGTTTGCTTGCGATGTTGAGCCAGAGGATTGTAGGTACATAGCAGATATCAATGTGAGCGCTATATTGATACACAAGTTTTCTGTGAATATAGGAGGATATGGCTCGTACGGAGGACTTGACTACGAAACTGAGGACTCTGTCGTATGATCACGAGCGACTTAAGAGCATGCACGCGGATGCGAAAGAGAGAGCGGCGAATGCTGAAAGAGACGTTGAAACCTACAAGAGTCGCTTAGCGTACGTCGACGACACTTGATCATTTTATTGATACTAAGGGTTTGTACTCCTCCTTGCATGCTGTTAATTAGCGCCGTCAACCGTGCTCTTCAATCGTCCGAAGCCGCTCACAAACAGACCACTGGCGAACTCCAACGAACTCGCTCGACCCTTCAGACAGTACGGGCGACGCACCACGCCGAGATTAAGAAGAAAGAGAAAGAGATGGAACGCACGATCGAGAAGTGGGCAAAGTTGTCCGACTCGCAACTTAAACTGGGTTCCATTGCCAGCAGTATGACTATGCGCTGTGCGAACGGCACCGTTACGGGGGCAGGGATAATGGGCAAAGGCAAGGGATTTCTGGAAGTCGCGCTTGAGCACGCGGAGAAGGCTGCTAAGGAGCTACGAGAGGAGAACTTCAAGTTGAGGCAGATGGTTCTCGGAACAGTGAACGAGCTGCAATCGGTCGTGCACCTAGCCAAGACTATGGTGTCCGAGAATGACGAAGAGGTTAGTCTCATGTGGGTTTCAGTCGTGCTCTGACTAATGACATTACGAGGAAGCCCGCGCCGTTGACTATGACAGCCCTATTTCCTCTCTCACCTACGGGGGCTGCTAGTGGAAAACTGAACTCTTTACTTGGCGCGTTGAAGGATTCCTTGAACTTGCTGGCTCGTAGCAGTACTTCAGCCTCTGCAAGTTCCACATCAAGTACGCAGACCAAAGTGGCCCCCGACGGAGAAGTCGAGAAACTACAAGGTATAATTGACGGTCTGAAGGCTGAGCTCGGTACGTTTGAGAATATCCCTACAACGTCGTTTCTTGATGCGATGCCCTTGACTTGGGACAGAACAAGCGCGGATGCAGTCTGCAGAGCATACAGCCAAGATCCAGGAGATGTTCGACCGGTATGCCGAAGATGAACGCATCAATGGCTCGATGAATGCAGACGTCTCATGCGAGTTGATGACTGCTCCTCTGAGAGATGAGGAGAAGGAGAGACTCGAGGACCGGGCCAGGGAGCTCGAGGAGGAGAGAAAGAAGTTTACTGAAGCGACCGTTCGACTTGGGAAAGAGCGAGCTGCTTTGGAGGTAATGATACTGGACAACTCTTTTTTTCACCGCACTAACAGATCACTCAGGCCGAGAAACTCAAGCTGCAGGAAGAGATGCGGTCATGGCAGGTGGAGAAGATGTTATCCGAGCTGCCTCCAACGCCTGCAAGTTCTATGCCAGCGGCTGCGGTGAAGAAGAGGCCTTCGCCTGATATCGTCCTGGAGAAAGAGAATATCCCTATCCAGACTAAGTCACCTCGAAAGGGACTCTCAAAGTCACTGACCAAGTCGCAGCGACATTCTCCGGTGAAGGCTGCGATGAGCATTGCAGTAGGCAAAGGTGCGAGCGCGAAGCGGGTCAGAGTATCAAGGCGCTCCTCCCTTGGCACTAGTCCGACGAAATTGGTGCCTGCGTTCGAAACTGAGCTGCTACCACCGCTACCCGCGCCAACGTTCAAGACGAGTTTGACGCCTCCACGAACATCTGAACCTTTATTACTCCCATCGTCCTTCGTGTTGCCGCCTCCTTCTCCTGCCTCTATTCTCCCTCCTCCCGATTCGCTGCTAGCGCCACCTTCCTCTATACCCCCTGTCTCAACGTCGATACCCTCCGAGATACCCCATTCAGAGCACAGCCCTCTTACCCTCGAAGCCTTACAGGCACCCCCAGATCCAGTAGCCTCTTCTTTCCAACCGAACGACGTTCCTGCTGCATCCGAGTCTCGCAACCCTATATTCCCCCCTGCTACGCCTGCTCGACGCCCCTTCCCTGTCGCAAAGCCTTTCGCCAATCGCATGAGCCACGCATATTCTCCAGCGAAACCCAGCCCTCTCAGTCGCATCCTCATGTTGGCCGACTCGCCATCAGACCCCGCTCTATCGCCACCGACACTGGAGGCTCTTGCGGAAGAAGCAGAGGTGGAGGAACTCGAAACGCAGGTTGCACCAGTCCGGGCAGAACCGGCTTTGGCTCTTGCACAAGAACTCGGAGTTGAGGAAGACGACGACAGCCCCTTGCGAGAAAAGGCAATTGTACCCAATTTGCGTACAAGAGCAGCCAAAGGGAAGGGCAAAGAGAAAGCCGGCGCTGCTGCATCCGGTCGGACGCGACAAGCACCAGGTGCCCTCGACAAGGAGAACAATGACAAACGTGTGAAGGGGCGTGCGGGGCTTCCTGCTTCCTTGACCACTAGTAAAGCGGCGCCCACTGTCAAAGCTGTCCAATCTACCTCGAAACCGCCTGCAGCTCCCGGACCCAAGTTAACGCTCAAGCAAGGTATCAGCCGAGGCGGCGGTCCCCGTAGAGTTCCTGTTGGAAGTGCAGAAGCTGCACCGATCGGACCTGGATGGAAGGGCTGAGCGCTGAGTCTCTTACCTATCTACTCTCCTTTCACTTGTCCACTCCCATTCTCATGTGTTGTTCATTGCACTCCCTCCGAAGGAAACATTGATTATTTTATTCTCACGGTGCAAAGGTCTAGTCACTGTATAGTATATTCACGCTGTGCAATCAAACGGAAGCCTCGACAAATTCCGTCCGCCCCTCATGGCGATGGTACGACTGGCACTCGTTCTTCAGGCCAGGAGCCGGAGGAGAATCGCGGCGGTATTGCGATATCACTTTCGTCTGCCATTGTAGATCGATTACAGGCGTCATATTTGGTTCGTCGAGGTTTGAGACATTACGGGCAGCAGAAGACTGGTGGGTCAAGATTAGGCTCATGCGAGTGCGATGTACCCGTAAGTCAATTGAAGGTAGAGGCAAGTTAGACGATGGCTCCGAGAGGGCGGTGTTAACTTTGTTGGATCCAACTGGATGGCTCTATAGAGCAACATCGAGACGGTCTCCACCGAACTGCGGGCACGGGATGCTGGGGAAGGTAAGTTCAATGCTAAATTGAAAAGAGTTCTCACAGCCAGGTATATGGCGGACGTGGGGTCAGCAGCCCTAACAAATCGATGCGTTCGAGGCGGTCCGAGCTGTGAGTCGAGCAGCCGCATGCACCCCCGACACCCGGGAGCACGGACTTTCGGATCTGGGTTGTGAGCGCATTTCAAGAACTTGCATGGTACGCGAAGTCTCCTAGTTTTGTGCGGTTTCCTGAATAGCTAGAATACTATTGAGTGTGCCGAGGATGCTTCTGTTGTCATGACGGTCGTGCTACGCATGTGCAGAGCAGGCCTTATTCGCTCTAGGGTGGGTATAGCGCCGGATATGTGGCTTGTACTAGCGTAACGTAATCCCGGGATAGTAAGGCTCAGAAGACGTTTCGCTGATGATGGGACGAGCTAGGTTTGGTCCGTGGAGTTCCTGGTTTATACATATTATGAAGGACTAACTGCAGCCAGCAAATAACCAGAAGCAGCGTCCCGTCCCTGGAGGTCATCGCTGGTTTCTGCGCATTGCAATCCCTCGCTGATACCACTGGCGTTCAATGCATTCGTATACTTCGAGACCCCTCATTCCTGATGATCTCGTGGAGAAGCTCAAAGCAGATCCAAAACTTGACGCGACCAAAAGTATGGTCACGACGAAGGAGTGGCGTCGCATACGCCTGTCTCTGGTCAAGACAGACACTGGCGGCAACTCTCCCGATGGCCCCGTTGTACTGCCCGAGGACGAACTAGGAACCAGCTATACGCTCGAAGATCGCAAGACGTGGCTCCATTATGCTTCTGAGATAGGTGACCCGTGCGTTGCGCTGGAGATCATCCGCCTAGGCGCCACCATTGACTCTAGGGACAACAAAGGACACACACCACTTTCGCGTGGCATGATGATGGCGTCGTGGTCCTCTCTCATTGTTGCAGATGCTAATGCCAGCACTCCCTGGGCCCTGTGTCCAGATCCGGTAGCTGCAGAGAAGAACATCGACAGGATGAGGTGGGTGTGCCGCCGCCTGCTGGTCGAGCAGCATGCGGATGTCAACGTCGTGGTCGACGATATGGCACCCCTTGATTACGCGTGCCTCGCCAAGGACTGGGAGGCGATTGAACTCCTCCTGGTACACGGCGCGGAGCCGCGCAGGCAGGATGAGGACGAGTCTCCTGTCGGACAGCTGTGCAGCGAGGGGGATGATAAGGAAAGGTTTCATAAATTAGTTGCGGCGGCAGGGAAACGGGTACGTCGGCCGCCCAGGATCTGTCCCTGCTGGTCAGGCAAGGTGATCTCAGAGTGCCATGGGGCAGGGCCCAAACCATACCCTGTCTTATACGTGTGTCGCTGCGGCTCTGGGAAGTCGTACGGCAGATGCTGCTCGAAGAGAGGGATAGAGTACTGGGAGCAATGGGACGAGGAGGAACAATGGATATGCTACGTGCAGAAGAAGGCGCTACAGTTCCCCAAGCTGTCCGATGGGATGCCGCCAGTCGATGTATCGCAGCTCGCTGAAAGCATGCGGTCGTTCTTGTCTATCAACAACGATCCCGGCTTCAGGTCGGCGCTCAGTCAAGTCGATCCTGAATTCATTCGCCAGGAACAGGTCGCATGTATCAAGGAACTGCTGCGTCCTGTCGAGGACCTCATGGTGCCTCTAGGTCTAGTGGACCCGGCCTTTGCGTACGCTTTGGCCAAGGCCCAATTTCTACCTATGTAAGGGCTTCACTATCGTGGCCATGTAGGCGAAAACTCACGGAGATCTAGTCCTAGAGGACGCAGTTACTTCAGTAAGGACGACGGCGCGGAGCGAGCAACGGAGTGGAACAATCTAGTCGACGAGTATATATCCCAGGGAACAGATTTGCGTCCGCGTATTGAGATAGAGAGCCGCGAAGATTGACAGTGAACTTGGTGCCCTGTTTCGAACGTGCGAGGGTCTCAACTGCAGGAAGCTAGAGGGAAGAGACGTGGAACGTCTCAAAAACTGCTCGAATTGCAAGACAGTGCGTGGATTTCCCTGTAATGCCCCGAGGCGATGCTGATGTATTGGATAGGCGGTATATTGCAGTCGGGCATGCCAAACTTCAGCGTGGAAGAAGCACAAGGCGGAATGTGTCGTCGGTTCCAGCTTAGATCAGATATTGCCATCTCAGAAAGTCCTACGGGAAGACTTGATGCCCGGACTATACCAGAAGATGGTGAGGGACTTTCAGGAAGTGATCTCTGAAGTAGATGTATGAACGAGTTCGTTCCGAGAGTCGGAGAGGCTTCCCTCTTTATCTTGAATTGCAGTAATCGACCTGGAGGTCAGGCTGTACATTGATTGTGAAAAGTATTACGCTGGCGATACATTGCTCTTGTACGAAGTCCAGTATGACTCAAGACTATAGAGGGGCCGGCCGTGTCATGAATGACGAGAAGTAGTCGTCTAGGGCGGAGAATTTGTCAAGAGGTGATATCATACCGACATATTGGTCGGGTCTGACGACCACAATAGCACCGGAAGGACCCACACCGAAGGAGGAATACACCTTTCCGCCGACCTTGCCAGAGAAATCGACGTCGTCGGTATATATCCTTGGTGGATGTTAGATTCCAGTCGGGGGGAAAAGAACACAACTTCAGGACGCACTTTGACCAATGTGGCCTGAAGACCTTAGGGAAATCGGTGTAAGTGACTTGCTCCTTTTTCGAGGCGGCGATGGTCAATAAATCGAAGACGTCACCCGAGCGAGCGCCCTTGGGAGTGAATTTCCGCAAGAAACTCTCCGGCTGGTTCAATTTCTCTGCTAATTCCAGGACTTTGTCTCTTTGCGTCGGATTCATATAGTCCCCAGTAAAGAACACAACCTTGAATCGCGTGTCAGCAGGTAGGAGGTCCTGAAGCTCGAACGGCCACGAATCGGCCACCCGAATGATGGTTTGGGGCGGCATGCGTTCCCCGACGACCACGTTGGCCACCAAGGACTGGTACGTGGGGTTGACTATCGGAGACTCGTTGTAGTGAATGCCGATCCCACTCGTGAAACCCCCAGCCTTGCTGAAGACACTACCGAAGAGTTCAAACAGCCGACCACTTCTGCGATGAGGGAAAAACGTACTCGACGAATTCTTCGTGTGTCACACCGTTCTGATTGTCCTTTGTTCGAGGCTTATTGGAAAACAACCTGGCAAATGTCTTGTCGAAGTTGATCAAATCTTGGGCATATCGGCGACGTTCGAATTCATACTGATGGCACGCTCAGGAAATGTCCTCAACGATTAGGAAGGCACCTACAGTCTTTAACAGTGACGGGTGTGCCCAGCCACGGAGTACGTGACTCAGCTTCCATGCTACGGCTCTCGATAAGCTAGGGATCAGTGCTGAAGCAACGCCGGGATCATACCAAGGTTGTGAGTATCATTCATGCTAGCGTTCATGCCCTGACCTGGGCATTGTTGCGTTAAAGGTTATTGCCGCAAGATGGAGTAGGACGGACTCCTCACCGGCTTTCGGGGAATGAGTGTGGCAAGCGTCACCAGCAATAAACACCCGGTCATTGATCGAGAATTGTGAAGCCACACGTTGACCAACTAGATGAGTATGCTCAATCTGAGAAAGTAAGGTTCAATAAGGCCGCCAGCGTACTGATGTACAGGGTCCACCAGCCGACTTCGCCATCGGCATCAATCCGATACGGATAAAATGTCTTCTTAGCCACCTGTCCAGGAATGAGCACGGGACAGAGGTCAGGCCTAGGAGTCATCACTAACCTCCAGCAGCTGCTGAGGATTGCAGTAGCTAATGTCGGGTTTACCAGTGTTTGGGTTCGTGACGCGCTTTAGGTTGTCATCCGTTAGCTGCAGATATAAGCGGACCAGGTCTCCTTCGCGGGGAACAATCATGCAGGAACCGTTGTTGGAGTGAATTGCACAGCGATTACGGATATCCGGGAAGTCCGTGTCAGGGATTAAATCAACGACGCCCCATACGTAGTCTGACGTCAATAGTAAGGTTACAGCGGAGAGGAAGTGGCAGTGGCCTTACCGGTATGCTCGCCGTCCATAGTAATAGGGAATTGTTTCCTCACCCACGAGTGCGCGCCTGGACAATGATAAGGCCCTCTGCTTCGCTGTACGACGGAGGTGACATACCGTCCGCTCCGATTAAGTACTTTGCCTTCACAATCTCAGTCTCTTCGACGATTTGCTCGGCGTCCAGATGTTGCAATACAACCTAGAGAAGGATACTTGAGATGTGAGCCCTGATTGGGACTTCCTCCAGGTTACCTTCACCGCGTGAGACTGCGGATTCTGTAATTCTGCCTCGTCGGATGAAATCTCTAGGTAGCTGGGTACGATAGGTCTGTCCACTTGCAGGTCCATGGCTCGCATGGAGTCTAGGAAGATTGATTCAATAGCCCCTTGGTTCAGGGTTAGCTGTGGAGAGCGCAATTCCCGTCAGTGACACGAATACCGGATCAAGGGATAGTATGCGCACGGCGAATGGGAACCGTGCTGTCGCGGCTGAGATATTTCTCGCACGGCTGGTAAGCTAAGGAAGAGAATGTCCACGTAAGTTCCTCCTGCAATGTACCAAAGCACAATTACCTCTATACCACCGTCTGGCCCTGGGTTATAAAACGCCTGTAGACATTAAGGATTAAGGAGTAACCAAGGATGTCCGGTGATAGGACATACTGCCATGTGCAGGCGACAGCCTTCGCGAAGAAGACGTTCACCGAGACCATAGCTCTGTCAGTGAGCGACATCAATGTTGAGATTGAGTCCAGGTCATGTTGAAATAAACGAAGGCGAAGGCGCGAAGCGCTCCTTACATGGAAGACTTCTATGATTCTAGGTTGGATACCGTCCGCCTGGCCGGCCGCGACTTTCTTGGGCCTTCGACATTGTTAGTGGCGGACGCTTGACCCGACGGGATAGCGTACCTCTTGTCGATTATTCGGACATTGACTCCAGCCCGGCCTAGTGCATTGGCTGCCATCAGACCAGCTGGGCCAGCACCGATGACCAGGACATCGACGGTCGACTCTTTGACTAATGGAGCTGGCATGACTGTATAACGGAGGGAGGATTGGATAGCGTCGAGTGGACACGTGAAGCGAGTACTGGGATAAGCAATTCTACCAGAGGGACTCGGTGCTTCGCGTGAGTTCTTAAGTAGTACACTGCGAAGGCTGGCGTATTGCTGGGAGTCGGAGATAACAGAGGATGCGAATCTGCCCTTCTCGGTCAGGACGCTGAGGCGGGCAGAGAACCCGATATAGTCGGCGGATTGGGGGCGCTAATGGGTGTGCACCACCCTTTCAGCACTCACTGTCAGAGTTTCCTCCACATATACATAAATGTAGACGTACTGATATGGAAGGGTAAGCGTGTGGCTGCCGACATACATCGTGCAGATACAATGTCGAATCTATTCATAATAGATGTAACTCTCAGGGTTGAAGAGCATGTTTCGCGCACCACGTACAGCCTGTGTGGCGGTGGACTTAGAGCGGGGAGCATGGAGTGCACGAACCTCCTGAATCCAAAGTATCTGGAAGGCTGGATATATTCGCCCCGGAGCCACCGTTAGAAACATCGATTTCGCTGGTACTGGTACCGAACGAAGACGTCGTGATTCGAAAAGTCGCGACGTACTTGCCTATGCATACGACAGCGGCACTGCGGTCATCACACTTATCAGTCGAGGTGCGAACGGAGGCAGGGATCGCAAACCTGTGCATTCATCACCTTCCTCGATCCAACACATTTCCAATTTACGATACATACCATAATAGACTGGCCAGACAAGCAAAGGTCGGTAAACGTCATGGCATGGAAGCTATCGTATCTACGTGTATCTGAGCTCGGGACACAGTGCCAGCCACCCAGGGAATGTTACTACTGGTAGTATTGTCAGTACTCGTGCGGACTTAACGCGGGGGTTCCATTTACCAGTATCGGTTTGGGAGGGAATCCGGTCCACGGTCTCGGAGGAACATGATGCGGTTGGAGTTGTTATCGAGCGGGTTCAGCCGGGTTCAGCAGTGGGGACAGTGGACTACGTAATTGTATGTCCGCCAGGATGAACGCCAGTCTTGCAGCTTACGAATTAAGCTGCTCCTTGCATTCCAGTTGCAACCTACGGCATAATGCGTGAGCAGCGCGTTTCGCTAAATGAAATGAACGAAGACGTCATAAATAGTGAACCACACAACCGACTTACGCCCCTCTTTGAGATAATAGAAGGTATGACAAGTTCCCGTGCCCCCTACCTCAACTTTCGAGTCTTCGGCCAAACTGCTGGCCAAAGGCAAATACTCGAGCACGTTGAGTTATATTCCTTGGCACGAAGGCTTAAAGTGGCATAGTGGGTTAAGACGGCAGATTCAGAGTAAGAGACGACGACGTTCATAGGATACTTCCATCAGCGTCGATAACAAAGAGAAGCAACTTAACAGGCATTTTGCGAGAACTTATCACGAGGAGACCACACACGCAATCCACGATGGTGCGGAGTATCACGAGCGTCAGAGCATTCTCTGATAACAGAGAGACTTACTTGGGCCGAGCGGAGAGAAGCGGACAATTCAAGCTCAGGGAAATCTTTATTTGTAGGTGATCTGCGTCCCTTTTACGGAAAAAGGAGGTGCAAAGGTCCTATGTTATAACGCATTACCCTTCTTTCTTATATGCTTCGACTATGACTATATTTTGCTATGCTGATCAGGAGTTAGACTTCAACCGGCTCTATTGTAAGAGCATGACTTCACCTCGTGGAACGCAAGGGCGCCCCAGCGACTGCGACCTCGTCCAGCAAGACCGTCCAAGCCTGCAGGCAACAAAAAATGCCTACGAATACATCTAAACCCCTCATTCCTCCCGAGCTGCTCGACCAGCTGAGGACAGATCCAACGCTCGCGGTCGACACAACGATGTCCACCACGCCCAAATGGCACAAGATCCGCACGAATCTCGTCAAGATGTTCACGCCGGGGAACATGACCGCCGACGACATCCTCGCCCTGGAGGGCGGCATCCGCCCCTCTATCCCCCAGCACAATCCGTTCACGCCCGCCGACGCGCGGACGTGGCTGCACTACGCGGCGCACATGGGCAGCCCCTGCGTCGCGCTCGAGATCATCCGCCTAGGCGGGACGATCGACCTAAAGGACGCGCACGGGTACACGCCGCTCGCGCTCGGCATGTGGGTGATGGCGTCCTACGCGGTCGCGAACATCGGCCGCCGCCGAGGGGTGTCGTGGTGCAGCGGCGCGGACCCGGTGGCCGCGGAGCGGATGGCCGCGCGCACGAGGTGGGTGTGCCGCCTGCTCGTCGAGCAGCACGCGGACGTGAACGTCGTCGTGGACGATATGGCGCCGCTCGAGTACGCGTGCTTCGTGCAGGACTGGGAGATGATCGAGCTCCTGCTCACGCACGGCGCCGACGCGGGCAGGCGTGACAGCCAAGGACGTCTGCCCATGGACCGGCTGAGCGGCGCCAGGGCAGACAAGAAGCGGTTTCTCAAGTTGGTTGCGGAAACGAAGGGGCGGCCGCGCCCCGCGCGCCCGTGCCCCTGCTGGTCGGGCAAGGCGCTCGCGGCGTGCCACGCCGCGGGGCCCCAACCGTACCCCGCAGAATACACGTGCCGCTGCGGGTCGGGCAAGCCCTACGCGCGGTGCTGCACCAAGCGCGGGATCGAGTACTGGGAGGAGTGGGACGAGAAGGACCAGTGGATTCGCAACAGCGAGCGGAAGCGCATCAAGCTCAAGATGAAGGCCGGGAGCATGGACCCGGCCGACGTCCTGCGCATGCAAGCGAACATGGGCCGGCTGCAGCAGGACGCGGCGTACCAGGCGGACCTGCGCCGCCTCGGGCCGCAGGGCGCGCAGGCGATGTTTGACGACTATTTCGGCAAGATCGTGCGCCTGGTTAGGGAGGAGATGGTCCCGCGCGGCGTGGTCGACCCCGCGTTCGCGTACGCCATGCCGAAAACTCAGATGTTGCCCCTGTGAGCGCTCCTCTCTGCTGGTACACGCCGGGGCGCTGACGCCCCTGCTGCCAGCCCCAAGGGACGCAGCTTCTGCAGCAAGCAGGATGGGACGGAGCTGGCGACGGCGTGGAACGCGGCTGTTGACGCGTATATCGTGGAGGTCACGGACGCGCGTCCGCGGGCTGAGATAGAGCGAGCCGCGAAGATCAACACATACTGCGGCGCGCTTTTCCGCCGGTGCGAGGGCGCCGGCTGCGGCAGGCTGGAGGGGCGGGACGTCGAGCGCCTGAGTCTGTGTTCCAAGTGCAAGATCGTGCGTATTCGTTCATTGCTGCTTCTCGCTTCAGAGCTGATAGAAGGAGTCGGGAAGGCTGTGTATTGTGGCCGGGCGTGCCAGGCTTCAGCGTGGAAGAAGCATAAGGAAGCGTGCGAGATGGGCGCCGGTGTGGAACAGATGCTGCCGTCGCAGACGGCGATTCAGGAGAGCTTGATGCCGGGATTGTGGAAACAAGCATTGCGGGCCTCCGAGAACCTCCTGTCGGGGACGGCGTAAGGTGCAGGATCTAAGGAGGTCACCGGTACCAAGTATCCTGCACTCCAATTCTTGTAGAGGTGACCTCAGTGGACGACCAGCGATTGACAGCATGGAATCGACAGAAAATGCCCCCAAACCTGTTATTCATTCAAAATGCATTGTTGCTGGACGAAGTGTGGATAGATCCAAATGGTAGCAACTGACACGGTGATGTTCAATGCAACGTACATAGCACAAGACATGCTCTCGGCTAGTCTTCCGGTGGCAACGATATCGCGGGACATTCAATGTTCGATGTTATATTATGTGGATAGTATGTATTGCCTGTTATGTATGGCAGGCGCTAACTTTGCAGAGCACACATGGACCCACACTTCCCCAACCGCTCAGATCTGCAGACTCGGGGTGTACATGTACGTCTTCAAGAGGCCGAGGTCTTGCGGTTATCCATGTACTCTCTGAATCCGCTTCACCAACTTGGATCTGCGCATCTGTACTGCATGCATAGGCAGCATCCAGTGACACAACAACGCAATGGCGAGCGATCACACAGCGAATATGCGAAAGCGGGAGATGTTCGACAAATTGAGTATTGTAGCTGCGGGACCTGATGCCTCCTATACCGTTCCCGTCAGGGAGTCGGGGCATCATAGTGAATCCGCTGCAGAAGCAGGTGACAGTCACATAAAAGGGGCGGCTGACCCGATAGCCACCTCTCCCCAGTACATATCCCGTTGTGCAAACGCAATGCCCTCGCATCTGTCCAAGCCGCTTATTCCTCAAGAATTCCTGGAGAGGTTGAAGTCAGACCCGGTACTCGCCGTCGACAACACCGTTGTCACCTCCCGGCAATGGCACGAGCTGCGCATCAACTCAGTGAAGCGGTCCAGCAGCACTTCGCCAGACACCATCCTGGTCCTTTCGGGCGACCGGGCGCTGGCGGACTCGTACCGACCCGAGGACGGCAAGACGTGGCTGCACTACGGAGCCGAAACCGGAGACGTACAGTGCGCGCTCGACATCATCCGCCTCGGCGCGAGCATCGACCTGAAGGACGGGCACGGGCACACGCCGCTGTCCCGCGGGATGATGATGCTGTCGCAGTGCTCGATCGCGTTCTTGGGCGGGCCGCGGGGGTCGCCCGCGCAGCGCGCTGCCAGGGGCCTGCCGGATCTGGCCAGCTCGAGGACCATGGTCGCGAGGCTGCGGTGGGTGTGTCGCCTGCTCATCGAGCAGCACGCGGACGTGAACGTCGTGGTGGACGACTCGGCACCCCTCGATTACGCGTGCCTCGCGAAGGACTGGGAGATGATTGCTTTGTTACTTAAACACAGAGCGGATCCACGGAGGCAGAGCTGGGTCGCAAGAAGGAGGATAAGGAGAGGTTCAATAAGCTAGTTGAAGAAACGAGCGGACTGCAGAGCCGGCCGCCGCGGATGTGCCCGTGCTGGTCAGGCAAAGCACTGGTCGAGTGCCACGCGGCGGGGCCGCAGCCTTACCCATCCGAATTTACGTGCCGGTGCGGTTCTGGGAAGACTTATGCCAAGTGCTGTTTGAAGCGGGGGATCGAGTACCGCGATCAATGGGATGATGTGGACCAGTGGATCCGCTGCAGCCAGACAAAGATCATAAACCTCCCCATGGACTCGGACAATGTTCGTTCCGACGACGTGACGGGCATGATCGAAAGTCTGCAGCGAATGATGGCTCAGCGCGACGCCGCGGAGGGCGTGGACGGGAGGTACCCGGGGAAGGTCCAGGAAGCAATGCACCTTTACGCTGCGCAGGTCGCGCGCTCGGTTGCGGAGACTATGGTCCCGAGCGGACTAGCGGATCCCGCCTTTGCGTATGCGATCTCCAAGGCCGACTTCTGCCCCATGTGAGTGCTTTCTCTTCCGCTGCCCTTGCTTGTGGTATTTACAGCCACCCGCAGCCCCAGAGGCCGCAGTTTCGTAAGCAAGGAAGAAGGGACAGAGCTGTCGGATGTTTGGAATGGCTTCGTCGACGAGTATATCGCCCAGGGCTCGGACGAGCGCCCGCGAGTCGAGATTGAACGAGCGGCGAAGATCAACACCCACTGCGGCGCGCTCTTCCGCGTGTGCGAGGGCCCGAGCTGCGGTAAACTCGAAGGAAGGGACGTGGAGCGGCTCAGTCTGTGTTCCAAGTGCAAGATAGTGCGTGAATCTGGAGGCCTGGCATTCCGGGTACTGACTGGTTGCATAGGCCGTATATTGCAGTCGCACCTGCCAAGCTGCATCGTGGAAGGAGCACAAGGAGCAGTGCAGCAGCGGTTCCCGCGTCGAGCAGATGCTGCCCTCGCAGGCAGCTATACAGGAACATGTATTCCCAGCGCTGTGGAAGGACGCCCTGAACCTTACACACCATGTACTATCGAAAGCACCAGAGAAATGACATCTCAGACCGGATGGTGGCTGACATTGGGGGAGAATAGCTCTTCCTGGAAGGAGGGTTTGTCTCGGCCAACAGGCCTGTAGCGCTCCTCGCAGACAACGATAATGAGAGTCGACTCAGAATAGCCTGAGTTGCTTGGCGGCCCGGGCGGCCCGGCGATGGGCTTGCCACAGCCACACCGGGTATCCCTCATGTTTGCATCTGGACTTGTCAAGGACGGAGTGGTGCGATATAGCAGCCCAGCATGAAAAATACGGAGCCGCTATCTAGGATTCCAACCTAGCTAGGGTACAAGACTCGATCGCTCATGCAGGACGCATTCGCGGCTATTCACGACCAGTACTACGAGGGATACAAAAGCGGTTCATTCGAGTTCTTCTCTGAAGGCTCACCTGCCCTGTTGCTGGTGAATATTGGTCACAGATTAGCCGCAGAAGTCATAGGTATCGGCGATCTGAAGGTAAATGTCTGGATCAGAAAATAGAGATGACCCATTCCTCAACGTACCTCTTTAGTCTTCTTGTCGACTTCCCGTGCCAACAATTCGCTGAAACCTTTCAGGTCCCAGAATGCCTCAGAGGCGCAGTGGCTACATTTCACTGCTTGCTGGAGGGCAGGCCTCATAGCTTCCTCTGCAGTCGCAGAACCACTGGTCGGTGCGACTGTCAAAATAGGCCTGACAGTGGTCAGGTAGGTGTCCCACCACCGTTGGATCGGGGAATCATAGTGTGCACGCTGAAACTTGGGGTAGTCTGTCCGGTTGCTAGGACACGTGTTCCAGACCCAGTTTCTTCGAGTATCCCAGTGCAAACCACGCATGTCAACCAAGCTTCAACGTATATTGTGCCGCGCGTCGTGCTCCCTCCTGCCAGTTTGTTCGACACGCTACCGCATAGACTCGCAATGGTTCGGCCTCCAAGAACCTCGGTGATATTAGCTCTTTCTTCAGTGTGGGCAGTACTCCTTCAAGCTGATACTTCACAGCTGCCATCATCAGCAAAACGGCATGACCGTCTAAGTGAAGCTAAGAACTAATCTCAGGCAAATAAGTACCAAGTCCATGGTCTTAAGTCATGGGGGCCCACCCCCTGAGCCCAGCACCGAGACTTAGCTAAGTCCTTGATTAATGTGCTAAGAACACTCAGGCAAGAAATAAGTGGGGAGAGAACAGAAAAATGCTAGCACCACTAGGATTTGAACCAGCACCTGCCATATCCAACCATACAATATAACCATTGCACTACAAGGCTACACTAGTTGGTGCCAAAAACTACTTCATCATGGACTCAGCCTTTGCCTTGAATGATAGCAACTCCCGAATTACGAGTTTCCGCCCTTATCTAGTGCTACTGGTATACATTACATGTACATCTATGATCAACAGAGCCATGTATATTGCTCTGCCGCCCTCTACAGCATCGGCTAAGAAACTCAGAGAGTTAGAGCTAAGGAGCTCGGTAAGGGCGCCTTAGCGGTACTTAGCGCCTTAGCGTGGGCTGCCATTTTGCTGATGATTATGACATGGCATGGCGCTGCGACACTGCCCCAGGCCGGCGGGGATAGGGGGTAGCCCCCATCAACCACCTCCCCCGTCTCCTCGATCATTGGCATGACCAGAAAGTCGCGCCCGCTGGCAGCTGGGCTACGTAGCCCTGTAGCCCGTAGCCCGAAGCCCTGGCAAAGCCCGGGCTATCGACATTTCCTAGCCCTGTAGCCCCAATGTAGCCAGAGGACCCGGCCGGCTGACACAAAGTCCACGTAGCCCTATAGCCCATGGCCCATAGCCCATTTGTCATCGGGCTACATAGACTTCGTAACTTCTTAGCCCTGTCTGGGGTAGGACAGCAAGCCGGCTTGCTGGCCCCCTCGGGGCCTCTTGGGCGCTCGCAAGCGAGCCCTTTGATCGTCACAGAACATGGAGCGAGAGCGGTGAATGTGGCGGGTATATATACTGATGCTCATTCCGACGCGCTGCACGTCGTTCGACCCCCTCGCGCATGTAGGTACAGTGTTAATATGTTATATAGTACCTATAAAATACGTATAGTACTGGTCAATGAAAACATTTAACAATGAAACCGCAATCAGTAGCTCTCGCCCACTTCAAAGTTAACAAGTTGTGTAGTACTAATAGTGTTGCCGCTGTCACGTATGTGCACGTTGAATCCAGAAAACTTCAGACGGTTGTAGACCCGTTAGGGTGCGCGATTAATACTCTGCTAAGCGCGAGACCTGTATGCCACATACGCGACAAGCTGCAGATTCCAGATTCCATCCTGTATCGTTTATCGAGTCCATTATCCTTCAATACATAAATAGATCTTGCAGTACAGTCAATATGGGTGACCCCGAGGATTCCTACATAGTATATATGTTACAGCGAAGACAGACCCATACAAGATGTGAAGCAGGTTGGTAGGAGAACCTATCCAGACAGATGCCAGCGACGTAACTTAGCACAGTTTTTACAGTTATTACAAATAACAGCACACCACTCCATGGCCAGTCTCTGGACCCCACGTGCCTTCCACCTCTCTTCACTGCAAACAAACCTTAGGCACCATTGCGGCCTCTCTTCTCCAGAGAAGGCGAAGCTTCCATGTCATCAAGGCGATGTTTGCCATTGCCATTTGTCTTGCCGGCATTGCCGTCCAACGATGCATCATTGAACGCTCTGCGGAGGAGTCTACCCTGTCGTAATGTCCCCGATATACTTGGTTCGGCTTGAAGAAGTGTATAAACCCGTAAACCAATGGTGATCTCCTCGTCATCGGGATGGACCCTAGCATACCTCTGCTGCCCCTAAGATCAGTAGATATGGACAAGTAGGCAATGCATACCTCCAGTTGGAGTTCTCTGGCTTGCTCACGCGTTTCAATAAGTACGAGGTTGGGATGGTGGTCCGCATGATGACGACCCTGGTCATGGCAGTCTTTGCATATATCAAACGCATAACATCTGGTCCGCGACGGTAAACGGAAGAAATTCGCAATTTTAATATTTCTCACGTGAAACAGCGCCAGAATGGTCCGCCAACCGGATTCTGCATATCTCGTGAACAAAGAGGGGCAGAAAGTCGGTGTACAACTTCACCTGACAGTGGCCGCACATGAAGCCCGCGAATGGACCTGTCTGGTCATGCGAAGAGCTCTGTGAGGAAGTGCTCCGTGAAGAAATGCGATTCCACACGGATGGGGCGGCCGGCAATTCTGCAGTCTGGCATTGGTCTGGCGTACTGTCTCCTTCTAGCTCGGCTCCGCCTTGAATCATACGAAGATCCCGACCACCTAGGAAGTCATAACTGATGGGTATCATCTCCCCGTACCGACTTGAAAACGGCTCTGTCAATGCTAATTGTGTAAGATGTACTTAGCCCTTACAGTGCGGCAAAGTCTGCCTCCATTCGGTGAGTAAGTGAGAAGTAATGAGAACAAGAGACGTACTGGATGCCAGCCTCTTGCTTGTAATTGCTCTGGACCACTTCCGATACAGCTTCCTTTCATCCCACTCTTTCCGGCGGTGCGTTAGTGGTTCAAGGTAAGGTCGAGACAAGACCACATTCTGTCCCCTAATAATCTCACTGGCAGCATGGTATGACCCCGGCATCGGGATCGGCTGGCTTCCTGCTTTCATTGTATGGTAGAGCTCCATATAGGTCTGCTCCTTGTGCTTCCTATCCAGCCTTACCTATCGCAGATATATGAGTCTTTAGCAATTACCAACAACATATAGCCATACGTGAACAATGTAGGTGCCCTCTTCTAGGTTGTCCAACTCGAGATTCACGCTGCGCCGCCATAGTCTTTCATGCGTGGATCTCCCGACCTCTCGTTTCTCCGGACCCTCTTTGTACACAACGAAGTCGAAAGACCACTTGTAGCATCCTGACAATTCTTGGAAGGCGCGATCGTCCAACTGAGACAGCACAAATATAGCCGGAGTCCTCTTTGCTATTTTAACAGTAACTGCGCAAATCTGATGAGTCAAGCTCATGGAATGGCGTAGGAGTCGCCTTACAAGATACGTCACCAGGGCTCCACGCAGCTGTTTACATGTCAGTGGACTCCTTATCGGCGAAGTTTGCGCTTACAAGGTCGGGGACGGGCTGAGACGTTGAGCCAATGAAAGCTATAGACCCAACGACGGTTGAATAACTTGGTACGATCCACGTATGACCACGTGGACATGAAATCGTCGTCTAGACAGTGCAGGTCTCAGTCTCAGGCATTCAACTTGAATAGACCATAAGGTCACTCACATTCCATGATAAATTGGCCATCGTTCCCGAACGTATGATTGAGCTTATCGACATCGACTTTCACCCTTATCGACGGGTCAGGGTGACTAGGGAATAACTGTGTCCATTCGCTTGACCCGTCTGACCACGGCCCGTCCCACTCGCCGCCACTACCCCAAGGATTCCGAATTTTGAGGAAGCGTTTCTTAGTTTCAGGATGCTCGATAGCATCGATCACCGAATATGCGTGTTCTTCATAATGCTAAGCGATTCACAAATGTACGTCAGGCTGCTGAGACTCACCGGTTTTCAAACCTCTAACCAACTGGGAGCCATCCCCGTCGACGAACGGGTTAGTGATGACGCAACTAAAGACACGATCCTTGTCTCCCTTTTCTCCCACCTTCATCAACTCTTCGTTCCAAAATTTATCTCTGTCGAGCACATCGTGTAGGTGAAAACAGTTATAAACTCCCCTGAAACGCTCTTGTGAGAGAAACAGTAGCTTTGAAGTGCGTGGCACTAACCCAGTGAGACTCTCTACAGCATCGCACACAAAGCCATAGTTCAATGCAGCATAGTCTCCGTTCAGCTTCGCAAAAGCCTTTTCAATTAATGGACTAACTGGGAGTTCAGATTTTCCGCGCTGACAGGCGGGAGGCTGGTGAGAACATACACCCATGTCTCGCCTTCGGTTCCAGATGAAGCGAAGTAGAGGGATTTAGATCCAGTTCGAGCCTCCGTATCGTATCGATGTTTATCTCTCCGAAAGCGAAGTTGCTCCTGATGGGAATGAGCCGCATGAATCACCTTGAGTATGAAGATGTACGACGTTACCTCCGGCGGCAATGTTTCATATTTGGGTGAATGCACGAAGAGGAGGCTTGAGGAATGCAATAAGTCTGATGCACGATACACGAACACATGGGAGTACTCACTCGTCTATTACAACATCCTCCCAACACCCATCCCGAAAAAAAATAAAACCGTAAACACCGATTCTAGGATGATGCTTCGAAATGACTTAGATCAGATACCTGAAAGTAGCGCCAATTCATACCGCGACGCTGATATGCTCCTCTATCCAATTTGTCTCCTTGCCAGTGCTCGCAGTACATACAGTCGCGAGGGCAGCTAAGAACCAGCAGTCCTCCAGCTGGCCCTGCACCAGGTCATCGGCAGTAGCACCTCCCTTGAATAAGGAGAAGGGGAGCTTCGAGTCGGACTCCGAGTCGGACACCTCTGAGTCCGCCTCCATATTGGGCTTCGAGTCCGGCTCCGCATTGCGCTTCGAGTCCGGCTTCACATTGCGCTTCGCGTCGGGTGTAGAGTCGGCCTCGGTAAAGATCTGGGTCACTCTAAGCACATCTGGGGGTTTGCATTTCTCATCCGTTTCTAGTCCATAGAGACAGCCCTCTCGATCTTCTTCGAGATCAAATTCCATATCCCTACATTAAGTAACTGAAATGAGTGCATGAACAATTGCAACATGGCAGCGAGTATACCGGAAACGCCTGTTCCTGCGCCTGCTCGAGGCAACATGTATATGAGCAAAAAATCACGGCAGAAATATTGTGATAACATACATGCAATCCTTCACAATCTGCTCTACTCTTGCCTTGCATCGATCGTGAGCATCTTGCATCGCACTGGTCACGACCAAATTCTGTGTTGAGGGACGTTGGTGGTAGCCATAAGTGCTATATTTACTCCAAAGGTAGCAGATGCTCACGAATTTCTCCTTCGACTGTTCGAATCCTTGAACAGTTGGGTCGTTGACGCTGTCCGAGTCGCCATTGCGAGCAGAAATGGTTGGCTGGGAGTTCGTTCGCGTTGGAGCAGGCGCCATCTCGATTCGCGGGAGTCCCAGTCAATACGGTACCTGGGATACCGTCCAGGGATTTATACGCACGCATTTGTGGGGTCATCAGCAGGAGCACAGCGGTGTAACCTTCCTTGGCCATTGATATTGACATGCCGTGCGCTCGCCACCGAGTATGTGCCGTTGTTCCTAGTCCATTTAGATAAGTGTGCTTCCCCATCATGAATCAGAGGACCCTTAGTCCGGTGCTGCAACTGAAGCGCTATACTCGCACTGGCAAGGAGCTCTACATTACCTTGTATCCAGAAGTCTGATGCCCGCGGCATTGGACTGGGCGGTCGGACTATGAAATACGCAATACGCGATCCTGCCTCAAGCAACCATGTGACTGGATTCGCGCGCGAATCAGTACGATAGTGGGCCGGAGGGGACGAGGTTGCGAGATACAGCCGTATCAAAAGACACCGACTCTCACATGTGCATGTACGCGATGCACCGATACCTTCCAACTCGCGATACATCATGATAGCAGCGGTCTGGGAAGATTCCGAGGCCACAGTTTACCTGGCGATAACGCAAGACTGGCACAGGACATTGAAATTAGGATCGGAGACAGCATTGCAGCCCCCGTTACGGACTTGAGTGGCGCCAAAGAAATGATGCAAGAAACATAGTAATTGGAGAGTGTATTACAACAAACAACAGCTAAAGCTACAACGACATTGACATGATAGAGCGATTACCGAGCCACGAATAGTAAGATAGAGACAGCGCGAGCATATTGATACAGTAGGTGAAGGCGCATGGAAGGTTAAGATAGACCGAGCCGCAAGTCAATTACGGCGCCCCAGAATAGCCATGTAAGAGGGAAATCATGTGCCCTAGTCCTTCCTAGTTTTGAACAAATTCATTAAGGACGATTTCTTCATCAGAACCTTTCTGTTCCCCAGAGTCGACAGCGCCTCCTCGGAGGCAGCGGCAGTGTTGACGTATCCTGGAAGCACGGTCAGGCTCCCCCTGCGCTGATTCCTCGGGGTGCTGTCCGTGCCACTGTCCCTGCCGACTTCAGGGTGGAACGAGTTCTCGAGAAAGTCTCGACGAACTTGCTCCGGGTTAATCGGCGAGTTGATGGGCCGTTTGTTGGTCGGGCTTGGGAGCGGCAATACCAGCGGCGCAGGTCTTTTTCTCGCAGAACCGCTCGACCCCGGCCGGGCATCCAGCCGAGGGACCGAGTCGCTGCTCGAGGAGCGTCTTGCCGGGGGCAGAGACAAGGCGAACTTCCCAGGCTTGTACGGAGCCACGGGAGGCACGCTGCCGCCAAAGATAGCCATGCCATCGTCCAAGCCCTCGAGAGCCTGTACGAGGCGGCTCGGGCTGAGCTCCGACGACTGCGTCGACACGCTCCCCCTCCTCTCCTCCCCGTCGACAGGCGAGCCCGCCTCGAAATCGACCCACTCGGGCTCGACAGCGCCGCCGGCGCCGACCTCGCCCGCGAGCAGGTGCGCGTACTCCCACTCCTCCTCCTGGTCCAGCCAAATCCCGCCCGCGCCGTCCCTCCACACGTCGCCGACGCCGACCGCCTGCTCGCCGCGCTGCAGCCCGCCCTCCGCGCGCGCGCGCTCCGCCATGTGCGCCTGGATGCGGCGGTCCAGCGAGCCGCCGTCCATGAGCTGCGCGAGCTCGAGCTGCGCGGCGAGCGGCAGCGGGCGGTCGCGCGCGTGCCGCGTTTTCTTCTTGTACCCCTCCTTCTTGCGCGAGGCGATCTCCGCCGCCGCTGCGAGCTTCGCGTCCGCCGCCGCGGGCTTCGGCTTGGACGTCGACTTTGACCTGGCGCGGGTGCCGAAAACCGACCACGAGCGCACGCGGTTGAGTACGCGGCCGCCCTTCTTGCGCGGGGAGGCGGGCATTGGTGGCACGGGGATGCCGAAGAGTGCGACTGGGTCCTTCTTCACGGACTGGCTGGGTAAACCAGCGGTCCGAGGAGATGTGGGGAAGTCTACTACAACGGGCGTATAAGCCGCCTTTTGCCCGGTGCTGGGTGTGTCCACCAAGTTGAGGAACGACGCGGACGAGACGCGGACGGAGGGGACGGACAGGCGTCTCTGACTACCCGGGGAGATGGAGGGCCTGCGGGGACTATACGCTGAGGGTCTGCGTTGTGGAGATACAGGCGCCGGGGACCCTGGCTGTACGCTGAGCGCCCAGGAGGCGATGTTGGAAAACGTGCGGGAGCGCGGCCGGGCCACGAAACGTTCGTCCCAGACCGGTGAGATGCGGGTGGGAAGAGGTGGGAGAGGCTGCGTAGGGGCCGCCTTTTGAGGGGGCGCTTGCTTTGGCAGGGAGGCATAGGATGCTGTGGCTTTGGACATTTGAATTGAGATGGACGTGACAGTCGCGCTGCTGGTCAATGGAATCAGAGATGAGGCCGGGGCATGAGGTGATGCAATTACGGGACACTCACAGCAAATGCTTGAAAGGACGTGAAGGTAAGGAAGGTGCGAGGCTATGCGTATACAATGATGCGCTCGGAACTACGGCTACAAGAACAAGGGTCACCTAAAGGGGAAGCGCCGGGGCGAAGGAATGTCAGCGACCAGCCAGCCCATTAAGGAATTGAGCTCACTAATTGTATATAGAAGATGCGATTCGCTCTTCCAAGAGAATTATTCAGAGATACAGTTAATTCGATGAAACGATAAAGAGAATTGAAGCAATAGCGATACAGGGGTATGTGTGATCAAGAAAGATCAATTGTCCAATGGGGAGTCGTGCAAGACGTCGAGAGTCGTATGAGAGGGAGACCGAGACTAGCTCTGAAGTCGTGAGGTCTGAGCCAAGTGCAGGAAGCTCCTTAAGACCCGCGGAGGGACAAAAGTGGGCGTTGTGCGGCATCCTCGGACAATAACCTGTAGCCTTTCTATAACGGAAATCAAAAGAACAGTGCGGGGAGTCGGGGACGCCGCACGTAATTGTGGTTAAACCAGCGCCCACAGACGCAAATAGACCGAAGCGACGGACCTCAGTCACCACCACCTCTCTCCGGTAATACCCGGTCCATTGTCCTCAAGCCATTGTTTCCACCACAAACGTTGCAGCAAATTTTGTGTACAGTTGCGGCTATCGATCTGCTTCAGTATACGTACATGGTTCAAACAATAGGCCACTTACGGTTATCGAGGTCCTGTTCTCCACCAAATACAAGACCTGCTGTTCCTGGATGAAGGGCTCCTGATCGGACCGCCGGCGCGCACTTTGCACGACTTTGTATCCGACCCATTCCCATTCCCATATCGCTCTTCGGCTTCGCTCTTCTCACTATTTCACCGCAGCCGTCCCGGGCGAGCAGTGAAATAGTGAGACGTATCTTCCGACTCCCCTGTCTTTTTGTTGTTCTTCGACAACGCCTCTCCATCCTTGTCTGCGGGAATCCTGTGGTAATAGTCCACCACGTACAAAGCTGGTTCCTTACCGGTACGCGTCGTTGCTCACCTTTGCTGATCACCTGCACCCTGCGACGGTGCTATTATCTGGACCTGCCCGCTCGTCAAGTACCAGGTACGCAATCAACCCGTTGGCTTCTTGCACAGATGGCTTCTCGCGATCTCGCAATCGTGTAAAATGGAAGACCTCGCGGTCGCTGTCCGCAACCGCGACGGATAAATTCCCATACCTGCGATAAAGGCGAGAATGGTCCGGTTGCTCCCTCTCGGCGACTTTCAGCTCCAGTCGCCTCTCATCTTTCTTCGTCTACCGATCCCGAGTGAAGCCATGCCTTCCGAACGTGAAAGTGACGCAGTGGAAACCATCCGGGGTGGCCGATCGCATTCCCCTCTGGAGGCAATATGTCCTTGTATGCCAGTCGTTGCTATCCTGTGTGCTATTGTCTTGGTTTTGGTGCATTCTGCCTCAATGCTCTCTCATTATCCTGGCTTGAACTCGTTGTGGATCACCGTCGAGCGACGTATGATGCCACTGGACCAACCAGCACCGCACAGTTCACCCTCTTCACAGTCAACCGTGAAATGAGCGCACCTTCTGAATACGCCTCCAATGGGTGGTGTGCTCAAAAGGGTCCGTTCGCTCCCTCCGGAATGTTCTCCCCCCCCCCACCCCCCGGTCCTCAGCTTGCGCAAACTTTCGTTGCTTCATCTACTGGTCCGGCTTCGCTTTCTTGTGGACAGGTAACGCAGTGAAGGATCTACCTTGTCTTTGTCAGATTTTGGCCGACTTCCCCTACGAGCGCCCATGTCCGCGACGGTGCCTCTAATTATGTCTGTCGTAGATTCTACCTTGCGCAATGTCATGGCCCTGCTGTAGTAACCCAGCACGACTCGGCGCATCTTCTCTCCCGGCTGAAAGACAGTGTTCTGGCGGACATCGTGCAACGGGTCAAAAACTGGATGTAGATAGTCTGACCAAGGTCAACGTATGCCTACCCGACTGTCGTTGTATGCGCCGCGTCTAGCCCCCGCCCTCGCCTTCACCCGTTCGTCATGCATTGGCTCGGTGCCATTGTACATCCCTGGCAGCTCCAACGGTCTCACTTGAAGACAGACGGAGTGACTGCCAGTATCAGCGAGAGGGCATTGACCGAGTTAAAGCAAGAAGAAAGCAGTATGTAGTGATTTCATAGTCGCGCCGTAGCACATTTTCACGAATGAAGTCGATTCGCTCAAGGATCCGCACTCTCCCTAACAATCGACTGGAGCCCAGTCTACTCAGTCGATGTCCAGGCATATGTCGCGAATCCGACGCATACATATGCTGATGTTTTTGGCAGGCAGTAAACAAAGAAATGTACTGAGATAGATGAAGAACATGCAAACACGACACCAAACACACAAACGCTCAGAACCCACCCCCGTACCCTCGACTCGAGCGGTAATACGAGCCTCCCCCGCCAAACCCACCTCCGCCAAACCCTCCGCCGCCGCCAAATCCACCAGAGCTGTATCCGAACCCGGGGTGCCCGTGCGCGCTCTGGAAGAAGAAGTCGGAAAAGTCCATACCGCCCATGCCGCCCATGCCCGACGAGTCCATCTGCCCGTTCTCGTCCTCGCCCATGTCGTACCGCTCGCGCCGGTGCGGGTCAGACAGGACCGAGTGCGCTTCGACGACGAGCTTGAATTTCTCCTCGTCGCCGCCCTGACAGAAGGTGTGAGTGGGTGATGCGCAAGGGGCCGAAGACGGGAGCAGTCTTACCTTGTCTGGATGGTGAATAAGACTCTCCCTACGGTACGCTTTCTTGATCTCGACCTCAGTAGCTTCCCGAGATATCCCTAAAAATCAATTAATATTGGCACAGACAGCGAAATGAACATTGACCAACCAAGAATCTTGTAGTAATCTTTCGTTTTACTCCTCTTCAACGCAGCCTCAGCCTTCTTCAGCTCGTCCTTCAGAGCGCGCACATCCGCGTCACTCCCCTCCACACCCGCTTGCTCCATCGACGATTTGAAGTCGGCGACCGCCTCATCGTACTTCTCCATGTGCAGGTGTATGCGGGCACGCGTCCGGAGGGCTTTGAATGAAGTGGAGTTTAGCGAAAGGGAGACGTTGGTGTCTTCGAGGGCTTCTTCGTAACGATTCATCTGTGATAACATAGGGCGATACGCGTCAGATCACGCACCAGCCACAGCAGAATTGCACTGACCTTGACAAGGGTCGTAGCACGGTTTGATAGCAATGTAGCACGCACCTGGCCACCCTTGCCCTCCTCCTCCTTGTCTCCGACTCGCTGTTGGGTGTTAATGATTGATGTCAACTGTAAACCTCATGCACACTCACCTCGAGAGCTTCCCCATATTTATCCACCGCACCCTGCAGATAGCCGCTTTTAAATGCCTGATTGCCCTCCTCTTTCAGGCGCTCCACGTCCTTGACGCGTCTTCGCAGCTTTTGCGCGGGCTCGTGCCCGGGGTCCAAGCGCAAGGCGCTCTGGACGTGCTGCAGCGCCTGCGCCAGCTTCGCCGACAAGAACAGCACCAAACCTCGTAACGTCAGTACGTCCGGCGAATTCGGCTCGAGCCGCATCGCGTCGCTATCCGCAGCCACAGAGTTGGCATAATGCACCAGAAACAGCGGACTGACACTCACTTGGCAGCGATATTCGCAGCATCCCAATTCCCGCGCGCCAGCTCCAGCTCAACCCGCCAAAGCCTCCACTCAGTCGGTATCTCCCCTCCTTCCCCCTCGATCCCCTGCAAACACTTATCCAACGCGAGCCTCGCCATCCCCCACTCCTTCCGCACCCTTGCGCCCTCGAAATTCCGCACATGCGCCTCGAGCTCGAGCACCTTCTCCTGCAGCTGGCGCGCCGCCGCATTCCCCGGCTCTGCCTCGAGCGCAGCGCGCAGCGTCGAGAGCGCGGGCGTGGGCGATCCGAGCGCGAGCTGGCACCGCGCGAGGCGGACGAGCGTCTTCGCGGACGGCGCTGCGGACTGGAGTGACGCGGCTTGTTGGCAGTCCGCCAGCGCGGGGCGGAAGCGTTTAAGCGCCATGTATGCGGCGGCGCGGTTGGTGAGGTAGGAGGGCTCGGTCGGGAGCAAGTCTGTAATATTGTCAAGAAGGTTGTAGAGCGTACCTATTGTACCAGGTTGTAAAGCGTACCTATGGCTTTCGTATATAGCTCGATGGCCTCTGTGAACCACCTCGCTTTGAATGCCACATTCCCTTGCTCCTTCGTCTTTTCCGCCTCTGCAGCTGGGTCCAAGGGCGGCGCGGGCGCCGGGGCTTCCTCAACATACGGCGGTGGAGGTGTGGACTCTTTCGAGCTTTGTCCCACTCCGTCTTCTACCTCGGCTTGCTCGACAACATCGTCCTGCTTTCTACAACACAGTTAAAATAAGCCTTTCGCGGGATTAATTGTCATGCGATACATACTCGATTCGTTCAGTAGCAGCGGCTTTGCGAGCCTGCGCCTGTTGCTGTTTCTTCGCTTGCTGCTTGGCTTTCTTGTTGCCCATCGTTAATGTCGTCTGGTCGTCAGCGAAGCGTTACAATAATACAACAGACGTCGGGTAAGTGCAAAACCAGACGAGCAAGAGTGGCAAGGCGGATGCAAGGCAGAAGAGTACCCATATGTCTTTCCCACGGCTATTTGTCAATGAGCCGGCAATGTTTCCGATTGCCACAGCGGCCACAAACCACAAAACAAGTGATGTTTATATCACCAGTGTATACGATAGAGCTACAGATTTCCCGTCTACAGCGCCGCACCTGCGCCCAAACAATCATACAGGAACCAAGAAATACAAACCGATATCAAAGTACAATGCGTGCTATCTGTCCATCCCAATGCAATGAGTTGTGATTATATGATGACGTGACCGGCAGATGAGAAATATTGAAAGAGAGCGAGAGTCTACGCAGGAGATCACGACTCATCGATATCCCTCGGTCTAAAGCTCCAGAACTCCATGACGGTCTTGCCCGCGCGCTTGCACATAATCGCACAGACGTCCTTCCTGAACGCAACCTTCCACACGCACTCGCATGGGTCACTCAGCTCGCGGATGGGCTTGCCCGTCTTCATCTCGAACAGGCGAACCCGGCCGTCGTTGCCGCCCGTTACCAGGAGGTTGTCGTTGAACTGCAGGGCGGTGACGGATGAGTCGTGCGCGTTGATGCGGTGTTGAATCGCAAACGTCGGGTTGCTGCCCGTGGCGGGCGGCGTCGGGGGTGTGATCGAGAATGTGATAACTCGACCGTCGGAGCCGCCTGTCGCGAGTAGGTTGCGCGAGAGCTGCAGTTGACAGACAAGGGCGGTATGGCCTTGGAGAAGTGCGATGCATTCACTGCGGGCGGAGTGGTAAGCTTGACAGACAAAAGTCAGGGACAAAAGAGCTCACCCAGTGGATGCATCCCAAACGCGAACTGATGTATCTAATCCGCCCGAGGCTATCCTCACTCCGTCAAAGGCAACCGAATATATCTGATGGTAGTGCCCTCGCAGGACGTACAGGCATTCACCTGTATCGATATTCCACAGCTATGCAATACAGAAATCGTCAACCATGCCCTGTGATGAGTAGACAGTAAATCAACGCACCCTACAGGTGCAGTCGTAACTCCCGCTGACCACTTTATTCCCATAGACGTCCAAACACCGGACACTCTGCTGATGCCCTTGCAGAACTCTGAGCATTCTGCCCCGTTGGACATCCCAGACACGCAGTGTGCAATCTCGGGAGCCAGAAACAGCGATCGGGCGGTGATGCAACACCTTGATGCAGCGGATAGTGGACGTATGGCCATGGAGAACATATATGCAGTATCTGAGCAAGCAAGTTAGGCGTACATATATTACTCGAAGATAATGTATCTTACCCAGTCTTAGCATCCCACACCCGTACAACCTTGTCACAGCCTCCACTGACCACAAGCGCATTCGCCTGCCCCCATCCCTCCGACGCCGAGAGCACATCACTGAGCTTCGGCTCCTCCTCCTCTTCATCGTCTCTAGGCCTGTTCACATTATCCAGCCCCAACGCGCTCCTCAAACTCGGTGGCACGAACTGATCCAAGCCTGGTCTCCCGCTCCTCATCCCGTCTCCAGCCCCAACGCCCATCCCCTCCGCCGTGTCTCTTCGACTCTCCTCCTCACCCTCCCACCGGCCGCGCGGGTCGCTCTCCCTCTCCGCGGGCCCGCCCCAGCGCCCGCCGCGGCTCACGAGGTTCACTGCCCACACGCCCGACTCATGCCCGATGAGCGTGCGGGAGAGCATCCCCGTCTTCGCGCTGAAGACGTAGATCCGGCTATTCGCCAGGCCGACGACGACCCACTCGAGGTCCATCGCTACAGAAGTGACAACGCCATTGTCCGGGGTAGCAATGGGGATTCTATGGGCACGAAGGAGGTGTCCGCCACGTCGCCACGCCTTCACTAGGGATGAATGATCCATGAGTCTCGGGGAATAATAGTCAGGAGTCACTCACTCGTCGTATAGGCAACCTTGAAGTGTTTCCGGTACGCATACTGCGGCGGGGATAGATGCGGAGGCGGCGCTGATGACAAACCCGCTCTCAGAGACGTAAGATCATCTTCGTAGCTCTCACTCCTCGGGGCCCGTACTCTTCTATGATCCCTCGCATCCAACTCCGGCTGAAAATCATGCTCGTCGCACATCCGTTTCCATATCCACTCATCCGCGAGCAGCCTGTTCCAATGTTTACTGACCTGGCTCGCCCTTGCCAGCGTCTTCGCATCCGTAATATAGCTGAGAATATGCAGCGCGATCTCTATAGGCAGGTCCCTCAGGAAATCCCTCTTCAACAGTGGGGCGATAGTGGTGGAGATGAACAGCAGCTCCGAGGCGTTGCACTCTCCGAGGATCGCCTGGAGGTATTGCAGTCTATCGGCCGGTCCGAGAGTACTAAACTCCTGCAGCGAGCTGAACGCGTATCGCGGGCACGTCTGCGTCGCAGAGACCAGGGATGACAGCGAGGGACGTGGGGAGGGCGCGGGTGTGGGAGGGGAGGCAATAGGCATGTACAGCGTAGAGTTCGACTCGCCTGCCATGGTGGCGGATGTCCAGGATGCGCTTCCGAGGTCTTCGGTGTCGTCGACGGGGCCGAACATGGTCTCCAGCACGCCGGATGCGACGTTGGTCGTCGCGGTTGAATGCGACAGTGAGCACGAATGGGCAGGTGTATAAATGCGGGTGTCCGGCAATTGCCGATTCACTTTGGCTCTAATCTACCTCCGCCCACGTTCCATTAATTTACCACTTGTATCTTAGATGCTCTGGGCACATCATGGTATTGAGCATCAACCCCTTGGACTGGTCAACATCTACCAAATACACCATTGATAATTGATATACAACAATGACTTCTTGTTATACAGAGTTTCTCTGATTTGCATTAACACCCTCGTAGGCCTTAGGAGGCTATGAGAACCTAATAAATAGGAGTCAGCAACACGATACGAGGGAATGGCTATGGTGGGACTCACGGCCGAGGGTGTCAACCCGAGATCTTTCAACGTTCGCGAAAAGTCTGCTTGAGAGAATTGTTTCCTGAACACACAGGGTACGGCGACCGTCGGATCAACGCCCCAACAAAATATACCCCATCGGAACGCACCTAGGGAACGTCAAGGAGAACGTCACCGTATCAGCGTTCACAGCCAGAGTTTGCCCAGCCAAATACTCCGCCACCTCTCTCAGCGCTGTGGCATCCTATCAGCTTCGCCCAAACATGTGTCAAGTTGTTAATCAACTCACTAGCATCACTGGGCAAAGTCGTCGTATATGGCTGCCCACCGCTAGCCAGCCTGATCTGCAGCCTTGCCTCCTTATATTCCTTCTTCTCCCCCGGTGCAGCTGCGGGTTTGCTAGCTGCCGCCGGCGCAGCTTGTGGGACAGCTTTACCCTCCCTCGCAGCTTTCTCGGCTGCAGCTTTCGCTGCCCGTTCTCGCTTGTCCGCTTCAATCTGGGCTTTGATGGCGGCGCGAGCTTTGGCATCTTCCAATTTCTCTACATTACACGAAGGTGAGGAATGGTGGAAGAAAGGATTGGTATGCGCCTGGACGCACCTCTGCGTTTCGCTTCTGCCTCCTTAATTGCTTGCTTGGCTGCGAGGTCTTCTTTTATTTGGCCCATGTCCTGAAGGGATTGAATTTTCACCTCTTACTCTCATGAATCTGGACTCACCTTGCCAGCTTTCCTGCGGATAGCATTATTGGCGGCCTCTGCCTTAGCGTCTTCAGCAGCCTTCCGTGCCCTCTTCTCCGCCATCTTCTTGCGGAGCTCCTCCAGCTTCTGCTTCTTCTCTTCTTCCGTCAAAGGTCTGATCTATCGGTGACACCCAACTTTAGCGAAAGAGGGGAATTTCTACACATGCTGTGGCACACCTCTTCCGTCGACTCCTCAAATTGATCGTGTCCGCTCTTCTCAGCATGGTAATTCGCAAGATCGACATTCTTGAACATCTTCCCGCATTGTATACATTTGATACTCTAGACTCCACAAACAAAACAGCAGCCTGATCTCAGCTTGTGATCTCCCAAATCAAAAATCACGTACACTGCGCACCTTAGCCTCCACTGGAGCAAGAGCTTCCGCAGACCCCGACCCCGACGCGGCCACAGGCGCTACCTTCGCCTTTCCATAAGCAGCCTTCAGCGCCTCCAGGTCTTCGTCATCTTCGTCCACGTCCATCGGTGTGCCCGCTGTCCCAGCCGACGTCGCCGCCGTGGGCGCCGCACTCGCGCTGGGATCTGGGATAGGATCGTTCTCGTGTTCAAGTATGTGGTCCATTGCTGGCTGCAGACCGCGACCGTTGGTGGCTCTCAGTGCCCCTGCATTCGGTCATAGTTAGCTTCGAGTTGGTAAGTGCAGACGCGTGGATTTACGGACAATCCACCCGAGCAGGGTCAAAGCCCATCGAAAGCAGTGTCTCCCTATCGCCCGCCATTGCTGACAGTGGCTATATGCGCGCGTCAGTGAGTTGTTTGTAGTCGAAGTATGGGTCCAAGGAAAGTGATCGCGAGTGGCAGTGAAGTGCCCAGCTTCACGAATGACGCTCGCACGCATACGTAATCTCTGTCCGTTTTAGGGAAAAGGCCTGCTATATCAAGTAATTTTCAAAGTACATATTCTGGGACGTTGATGCTTCGATATTAGCACAAAGCTAGATTCGAAGATGTAGTCCGCTATTCCTTCTATATCTCGGGGCACGATCTCTATATAAGCCAACGTCGTGTCTCTCGCGATTTTGCTTTGTCCTCTCACCTTCCTCACCTGTGAATCCAGGAGCCATGTCGCTCAGCGTCAGGACGTCGATTTCGAATCCTCTCGTCTCCGACGAGGCTCTCAAAAAGCTTATGGCAGAGCCTATGATGACCAGCTACATCTCCGTCGCGTATTCAAGCCAGTGGCACGAACGACGCGTCCAGTTCACCTCACCCGGCACTTCGCGCGACAGCGTCATCCACCTCACGGGCCTCCCGGGCGGGCTCGACGATGATGGAGTCTTCAGCGGGGACAAACTGCGCACATGGCTTCACTACGCCGCGCTCGTTGGCGACACGGTCCTCGTCATGGAGCTGGTGCGTCTCGGGGCGTGCGTGGACTTTAAGGACATCACCGGGCAGACGCCGCTGCTCTTTGGCATGCGGAACCTCAAGGCCATGGACCATCCCAGCGTCTATGCCGCCCCTCCCGGGCCCCGAGAGGAGGTCCTGCGGACGATAGAAAGAGTGGCGTGGATATGCTGCGTTCTCATACAACAGCATGCAGAGGTTAATGCGGAATACCAGGGTGACACTCCGCTGCACTTTGCTTGCGCATCGCTCAACTGTCGATGGGATCTCGTCACTCTTCTCCTGCAGTATGGTGCTGACCCTCATAAACGAACGGCGAAAGGACTCCCAGTTGACTGCCTTCGCGCGGATGCCGACAAACGTCGCTTCCGCCAGCTTGTCAACCAATTCGGAGGCCAACTTCGACCGCCTAGACTGTGCCCGTGTCTATCTGGAAAGAGTTTAATTGATTGTCATTCTTCGGCGAGGACACCATACCCGCTGGAGTTCATGTGTAGATGCGGCTCGAGCAGAATCTACCGCCAATGCTGCTATACGCGCGGTATCCGATTACACGAACAGTGGGACGAAGCCCAGCAGTGTATCGTGATCTGGAAGACATCCGCGACGGGCGCCTGCGTGCCGACTAGCAGTAGTTCCAGCCAACCTTTATGCTCGATTATAACCGACCAGTTCTCATATGTACCAGCGGAAGTGGCTCGGCAGCTATGTAACGTCAGGAACGGAGGAGTGAAAGAGTTGTACCCAGACATGCTCCAGACCATCAACAGAGGCCTAGTCCCACGAGGAGTTATGGACCCAGCGTTTGCGTATGCGCTCTTCCACGCTGACTTTATTCCTATGTGAGTATATCGCCATCTTCGACGTCGAATGTATGCCCAACGTTTGACACACAGGCCGGGGGGAGGGTTTCCAAACAATGAGATGGGGGCGCAAATGTCGCAGGACTGGAACAACCTGGTCGACGATTATATGGCTGCAGGTTACGACCCCCGGCCTCGGATCAAAATCGAGAGAGCAGCGAAGATCGGAATCTTCTGCGGGCCCTTCTATCGCGAATGCGAAGGTGTGGGATGCAGCAAGCTCGAAGGCAGGGAGGTGCAGGTGCTGCGGATTTGCTCGGCATGCAAGTTGGTGCGTGTAGATATCCCTGATTAGAAATCTGGTAGATACTCACTTGGACTTGGGACAGGCGGTTTATTGCGGGACGGGATGCCAGAGGTCAGCGTGGCCCGCGCATAAGACAGTCTGTGGAAAGGAGGGACAAGAGGTCCAAATGTTGTCTTCGCAGAAGATGGTGCAGGAGTTCGTGCTGCCGGCCTTAGCCGGAAGAATGTCTAAGATGAATAAGTAGAATAACAGGGAATCAGCGAAGAGGTAATCACAAACGAGCGAGATATGATTTCTATTGGGGAGGAATCTTCGATGAGCCTCGACTATGAATTTGTGTGTCAATATAATCCACTGACCCATATTATTATCTGTACGCACCCTACACTCAAATTAACTTCTGCGCCCAGAACAGTTTGTTATACGCTGGTAACCGCACAGGCGAGCCTTTTCAAGTTTTCCCGAACTTGTGCGAAGACCGACGAAAACTCAGAGATAAATTGTGTGCCAAACCGATGTGAGGAAGCCTCAGAAAGGGGGATGAAACCTAAGACGAAAGGAGCGGTTGGTGTATTTGATAGGTATGAAGCCGTCTCAAGTCTCGCGTGGAAACCTGGAATGCCGATTCCCTGATAGCTATAGTGTACTGATGAGATCGTGTGGACAATATATCCAACAACCTCGCCCTTAACGCGTTAGGCTGAGATATGAAGATGCGCGACTTCAGACACGGGGGTGGCAAGCCCGAGTCAGCACAACTTCGTTACCGTCACATTCTGCCGACGCTCTGGAGAGTCCGTTGTCTGTAAGGTTACAATCATTGAGCCCAAAGCGTCGGTACACAGTGCGAAGGAGTTTTCACTTCTAATCATGGAGGGGAAATTGTTTAAGGGCGGTGAAGGGTATAATCCCAAAAACGCAGGGAGCGAGTATGCGGTGTCTTCTCTACGTAAACTCGTGTTTGTGTTATGAATCCATGTGTATGGGAGACGGGAGACAATCAACACACCTATATTTACGTACAACCCACACGTGCTGCACGCATTGCCCGCAGGATTAGACCTAGCGCGAGCTCTCCCCGCTTTCTCCCACTAACCGCCACGACCGCTCAACACCACAGGATGGACGCCTCTTCGCGCTCGAGAGCAGATACGTCGAAGCAGTCGGATCAAGGAGCTCCACCGAGCCCTTGGAAGCCAACTCGTAAGCGAAAGACTATATCTCAAGAGCCTGTGATAGTACTCTGATTATCGTCGCCTGCTCATCTAGAGCCACTTTTCCAGGGCGATCCGAACGCAGATGTCATCCTACAGTCAATGGATGAATTCGAGTTCCGCGTCCAGAAGAACATCCTGGTGATCGTCTCCCCACTCTTTCGCGACATGTTCAGCGTGGGCGGACCAAGCGAAAGGGTACCGACGGAGGAGACAACGCAGATCCCTGAGCTACGCGCTGTTCCGATGCTGGAGGAGACAGGCGACGTCGTCGAGAAGCTGCTGCAGCTGTGCTACCCCGGCCCGCTCGAACCCCCAACGTGGAGTGGTGCAACAGATGTTTACCCCGTCCTAGCAGCGGCTATCAAATACCAAGTCGAAGGTGTGGTGGGCGTGCTCAGAAAAGCCTTGGTCTCACGGAAATTCTTGGAGGAAGAACCTTTGCGTGTTTTTGCAATGGCGTGCAGAGCCCGCTTGCAGGAGGAAGCTCGAACGGCGGCGCAACAGACCTTGAGAATATCTGACATAGGCATGTCACAGGAGATCGACGAATTCCAGTTCATATCTGGACGTACCTTCTACCGCCTGTTAAAATATCGCTCTGAATGCAGAACTGCCGCCCCGACGGTTGTAGCTAATGGAGAGAGCATGGCTTGGGACACGAGGAGGGACTGGGTCTGGATAGCGTGCAAGGCCTCCAACGGAGCATGTGCCGCAAAACATAGGACTTCCATCGAGTCCATCCATTATCACTGCGGAGTATCGGGATGGTGGAATAATTATTGCTCCCAAGCTGTTTCAGCTCTAGATGCCTCACCCCGGGGGGAGTCTGTTACTGCTGCAGCCATCCTAACGCCTGCTCTCTCCGAAGCACTGAAGTGCACATACTGCTCTTCCAAGGCTTTACAACACCTGCAAGAATTCAGCGGCTTGCTTGCCCAGGAAGTCGACAAGAAGACCAGGGAGGTGCGTTGACTCGGAGGTGTCGGCCATCTTCATTTTCTGATCCTCGCTCGTTCCCGTCAGATCGCCGATACCTATGACTTCTGCGCCTAACAGCCGACCAACAAAGTGGTATGCCGGCGTGACTGGGAAAGTGAGTCATACGGAGTTTCCGATCGCGAAGAGACTTTGGAGGACCAATGCAGACATGACTGGATGTGCGACAAAGCGAGGGGCTGGAAAGCAGTCAAATGAACACTCATGTACCGTTAGCTTTGGATAACTGTCTAACAACAGATGGGAGCATACCACTGATCTCCACTTATCTTGCATCGGCAATGACGGTCTATGCCTCTTCAAGTTGAGAGTTCAGACCTTCGAAAATCCCCTGTGGATATGAGGTAGTGATTATTTTTGGGCCTTCATCTGATAACCTCATGCTTGATACACCCAATGGGTGCGAGGACATACACGGCACTATCGGAGGTTGACGACTTTAGATTTCGGAACCTGTGGTTGTGGCAAGCTCGATGAGTCTGTGGAGAAGTACGTTGCCGTTCAACCGGTTCAAGAGGGGGTGTGGTTATAGCAGGCCAAACCGGACTGTGAAATGATTTCTATGGGTCATTATGGCCAGTCCCAAGTTATACTAAGGGTCCAGGTGTGAAAAGGTAAATGACGTACCCATACTAGTACCTGCGTACACGTGTCGTACGCATTGCGCGCTACGTTAATAAAGCACGGTTTTTCCATGCTCCTCGTCTTACCACCACAAACAGGACAACACCAAAGGATGGACGCTTCATCACAATTTACGGCCGATACGCCGCAGGAGTCGGACGAACCATCCCAAGCAAGCCCCTGGAAGCCAGCGCGTGAGCGGAATGTTCTAATTCAACAGCCTAGCCCAGTATTTGACTGTGCACGCATAGAACCTTTGTTTCAGGAAGATCCGAATGCCGATGTAATCCTTCGGGCTAGAGACGGGTTCGAATTGCACGCACAGAAGAATATCCTGGCCATCGCGTCGCCGATGTTCCGCGATATGTTCAAGGTCGGCGGTGTTCTAGCGAGAACGTCGCGCGCGTTGGCTGGTGGGCTACGTAGCCCTGTAGCCCGTAGCCCTCAGCCCAAATCAAAGGCTACAGGGCTACGGGCTACCATTTCGTAGCCCCGGGCTACCGATTGTTGTGCTCGAGTCGAGCTGGGCTACAGGGCTACGCGGGCAGGAATCGGCCGGTCGGTAGCCCCGGGCTACGTGATACCTTGGAGGGAGTCGACCTCCGAAGCGTATATATACTCTCTGCTTGCGGTGCAACGCTAACGCCCCCCGTTCTCTCGTAGACGTACAGTACTTAGTGTGCAGTGTACATAGTGATGGCAATACAGTCTGATCATAAGTATGATGGGCCGCGCGCGGCCACGATGCTACGCGTGTCGCGCGCATGTGGACGGCGACCTCTAGGCTTTGTTTAGTGGAACATTGTGCCGTAAAATTGCAGGTGGGTACTGTACAGTATGTCAGTCGGAAGGCGGGATATGTATGCTCGCAAGAGCCAAAGCGGCGAGCGCTACACGTGTACTCGGAAAGAATGGTCATATGCAGTATTTTCGGTGCTTTGTGCTGTTGTCGGGATGGTATCTGCATAACAGCACGCAATATAAACACTTCACAAGCCCCCTCCTGCGGTCAAGGGAACCCGAGAACGGTCGATAAGCGTATTCCAACTTGAATGACAGCCGCAGCCTACCGGGGATGTCTTAATGCACTGCCCGACCTTTCTGTGTAGGCTAAGCATTGAGTCTGTTTTGAGCTGGCAGTTATTGCCATGATTTCAACTTAGTGCATATGGGGTGCATTCAGAATTATTATAATGGCATAACACAAGTACATAAACGTATGCTCGGGCGGGAGGGGAAGAAGGGAGGAGGAGACCAGGCTTTATAGCTGCCACAGCAACCTATTTTAGACACGTTCCCCGGCGTGAGCTTCGGAGCTCTCGGCGGCTCCATCGGAGACGAGCAGCCAGGCGTAGACTCGCGACCAGTCCTGTACGCAATGCACACGCCTTCCTTTTTTGGTTTCGGAGTGATGGAAGGCGTGAGCTTGCGAACGGACTGGTGACAACGGACAGTCACATAGCGGGGTCACAACTTTCCCCGCCAAGCGTGACTCCGACTTAGAAAAATTTGCCCCCTCAGACGTACAAAATCGTCTCTGGCACACATTGTTCAATGATGTTTTTGGAGCGAATGGAGTTGATTGGAATAGGTGAGAAAAGAGGATTTTCTCCTTGATGTCAGTCCAAATTCATCGAAATTTGACCTATGTCAAATGAATCTATGGCCTTCAAAACCTACAATGGTGCAAATCTCCCAAGGCATGATTTTTCTGAGTTATGAGGCTCTCAAATCACGAAGTCCCACTCATAGTTGGCGCGTGTCACGCGCATCCCGCCAAAAGGGCGACCGTAGTTCCCAGCCGCTTCGCAGTGTAGCGAGTATTACGAGCGGAGCTTG